AATTCGATTCAGGAAGAATGGGAAGCCATACCCCAGTAATTTCTAAAGAACTTGGTCTAGGGAATGCTCAGGAGGGTTAACGAATTATTACCCCCCTTAAGAAATTATCGTGGTTTTCGAGTGACACTCCCAAACGCGAAGAGGTACAAAACTGCGGTTTGATTTTTTAAAATCAGCGTGGTCAAATTAGTAAAGAAAACATGTTAAAAAATGAATTGGACAACTTTCGATTTTATGTTTTTCAGGTCCCCCCTTAAGAAAATATCGTGGTTTTCGAGTGACACTCCCAAACGCGAAGAGGTACAAAACTGCGGTTTGATTTTTTAAAATCAGCGTGGTCGAATTAGTAAAGAAAACATGTTAAAAAATGAATTGGACAACTTTAGATTTTATGTTTTTCAGGTCCCCCCTTATGAAAAAAATATAGCGGTTTTCGAGTAAAACTCCCAAACGCGAAAAGTTACAAAAATCCGGTTTGATTTTTTGAAATGAATTGGACAACTTTCGATTTTATGTTTTTCAGGTCCCCCCTTAAGAAAATATCATGGTTTTCGAGTGAAACTCCCAAACTGGAAGAGTTACAAAACTGCGGTTTGATTTTTTTAAATCAGCGTGATCGAATTAGTAAAGAAAACATGTTAAAAAATGAATTGGACAACTTTAGATTTTATGTTTTTCAGGTCCCCCCTTATGAAAAAAATATAGCGGTTTTCGAGTAAAACTCCCAAACGCGAAAAGTTACAAAAATCCGGTTTGATTTTTTGAAATCAGCGTGGTCGAATTAGTAAAGAAAACATGTTAAAAAATGAATTGGACAACTTTCGATTTTATGTTTTTCAGGTCCCCCCTTAAGAAAATATCGTGGTTTTCGAGTGACACTCCCAAACGCGAAGAGTTACAAAACTGCGGTTTGATTTTTTGAAATCAGCGTGGTCGAATTAGTAAAGAAAACATGTTAAAAAATGAATTGGACAACTTTCGATTTTATGTTTTTCAGGTCCCCCCTTAAGAAAATATCGTGATTTTCGAGTGAAACTTTCAAACGCGAAGAGTTACAAAACTGCGGTAGGTAGTAAGTCAGGCTATGGAAAAACACGAAATAGAAAATCTATACGAAATTTTGAACAGAAAACAAAGTAGTAGGCGAGAGCCAAGGCTATCGTATTCTGCAATAAAAAGTTTCAGATCTTGGAACGTGAAAAAACAACGTTGATAGAATAATATGGAAAAAAAACCCAAAAACTTCAATGGAGTACATTTGATGCTTTTTTGTAGGCAATACACTCAGCCTTTTTAAGAACAAAAAGATAAGATGGTGAAAGATTGTTCCTTGAATAATTCTGAACAAGCGACAAGCAACAAACTTCCATTATTTTCAGAGGAACCTAAGCAAAGACCACTTTTTCAAAATTACATTTTAGTGAAAATTTTCGAAAACTAAACCTGAATCGATATCAGTGGCGGCTGGTGAATTTTGGGTATACTCATATCTCAGTTATTAGACATGGGACCCACACCAAAATTATATGAGTTTATAATGACATTAAATTGACAAGATCTGCGCAAGCAGAATTTAAATTAAAGTTTGCGAAAAAAGTTTGTTTCTCAGCTAGTTTCCCCCACCCCCTGCCCCCCTAATTAAAATAATTCAAATTAAAGTGGTGCAATTTTTAATGTACTATAGTTTATCGACAAATTTCAAATTAAAAAAAAAAAATCCTGGTATTGGAGATTTTATACCATTTTGTTTTTTTTTTTCACTATTTTTTTTTATATAGGTTTAAAACCTGTTATACTTGGATTTTTTAAATAATTTTTGAAATTTGTTGATAAACTTTGGTAAATTATAAATTGCACCACTTTAATTTGAATAATCTTAATTAGTGGGGGCAGGTTGTGGGGGAAACTAGCTCAAAAACTTTTTTCGCAAACTTTAATTTAAATTCTGCTTGCACAGAACTTGTCTATTTAATGTCATTATAAACTCATATAAGTTTGGTGTGGGTCCCATGTCTAATAACTGAGATATGGGTATATCCAAAATCCACCAGCCGCCACTGTTTTCTTCATAATTTTGACCTGATTGATCCCCTAAGTTGTCAAATTTAGGTTTCAGATAAAACCAAAATCACCAAGAATCAAAATTCGAAAACAATTCCTGGATGTTAGATGTCTCAATAAAATCTGATTGCTGGATTTTACTGGTTTTTTACTGTGTTTTGCATTTTAGTACGTTATTATCATGTCACTGAATGATCAAATCAAGGATCAAATGATGAAAATTAAATGCCAATAATTTGGTGTTGGTGGACGACAATGCCCGTCCGCATTGCGCTTATATCGTAAATGAATACTTAAGGCACCATGATATTGAGAGAATGAATTGGCCACCTTTGTCTCCGGATATGAATCCTATTGAGCATGTGTGGAGCAGGATGAAACGGAAGATGAAAGAGAGGAAAGGACGCATGGAAAATTTGGATGAATTGGTAAATTCGATTCAGGAAGAATGGGAAGCCATACCCCAGTAATTACTAAAGAACTTAGTCTAGGGAATGCTCAGGAGGGTTAACGAATTATTACGGGTTAGGGGAGGGCCAACGAAATATTAAAGGTTATTATTGTTATTGTTTGTTACATTTTTCTGTTGAATGTTGTAGTTTTTATTATGATTATATCTTCGCATAAAATTTTCAAAAATAAACAAACAAATTTTGTATTTAACTTTATTACCAATTAGGTAGGTACTTATAAGTAATAAGTTATCACTAGTGCGCAATATAAATGTAATTTATTTAACATTATCCTAACCACTCAAACAAAAATGAATCCCCAAATGGCATTGCCAAAGGCATGTTGAGACATTTAACAGCCGGGAATTGTTTTCGAATTTTGATTCTTGGTGATTTTGGTTTCATCTAAAACTTAAATTTGACAACTGAATCACATCAGGAGGTCAAAATTATAAAGCAAACATATCACGAACGTAAATATCGGTTCAGGTTTAGTTTTCGCAAATTTTCTCCTAAATGTCATTTTGAAAAAGTGGTCTTTGCTTAGGTTCCTCTGAAATTAATGGAAGTTTGTTGCTTGTCGCTTGTTCAGAATTATTCAAGGAACAATCTTTCATCATCTTATCTTTTTTATCTTAAAAAGGCTCAGTGTATTGCCTACAAAAAAGCATCAAATGTACTATTTTGAAAAAAAATTCATATTTTTGTTGCTAAGATTCCAATTCGAAAAATTTGAAAAACGTTTCAAGGTAAGACATAATACTTCATTATTTCAAAGTAAAAACGAGAAAAAAATATTTTTTTTTACAAACGGGGCTTGGATGAAGTTTTTGAAATTTTCCACCGTTTTACATATCACCCTGTAGGAAATTTACTTGAAGAACCGTGAGCTTCATATCTATAGCATGTATTTCCAGAGAATGGGGCTAGCAGACATCACAAACCAAAATAAAATCGTTCAAGAAACAAAAAAGTTATGTCGTTTTGAAAAAGGACGAAATTTTTGGTCGCGACACATTGACTGGTGCGCAGTTTATTTTAGTTTTTAAAGAGAATGTTTTATGTTTAAACGTTTTTTTTATAAGGAAACACTTTTAGTTAAATGCAAACCAAATAATGATTTTACACCTTTAATTAATAATTTACTGTTAAAACTGATTAGGTTACATTTTAAGTATCTGAATCATTTTCAAAAGTAAATTAACTTAATAATGCGTAATTCGTATTAATAATCCAGAACAAACTTCAACATCACCAATCGCCTGTGAAGGTTGTACTGATGAATTACGAATACCATCTCTCCGTCCGAGTCTCGGCGTCTCCCACTCTTAAAAATTATTCTCCCACTCTTAAAAACCGAATGCGGCCTGTGTAGAGGAAAAATGAAAATACTTATTGGAATGTTTGCATGTCAAAACCACAATATCTTGAAAAGAAAGGCTAGTTGAGCAAAATGATGGTCATTTTTGGAGTCAGCGCACCCAAATTACCATGGAAAAATGTTTGGCTCCCATGTGGGGATGTAAGCAAATTTCTATGGCAATGTCATGTCACGGTCATAATGAAAATAACTGTCATGTCATTTATGTTTATGACACCTTTGTCATTAATTTTTTACAATTGAAATTTCTGACTGTCAAAAAAATAACTGACCGTCATTAAAATATATGACAGTCACAAAAATATATGACGGTCAGAAAAATATCAGCTGACTTTCGATTCCACCCACCTGCAGCGTGTCTGGCTTACGATCCACCGACGCGAACACAAAAAAAACGTTAGATCGATCCCAGGAGATGGAAGCTGCGCATTTTAAGTCATTAGATGACTTTGATGTCGATGACTATAAATCTGACAACAAAATTTGATTATAACTGGTTTTAAACCAGTTAGATATCTTTATATTTTACTAGGATTTTTATTTAATTTTTTGATTTTGTTTAAATTTTGTTGCTTTTTTACATTTATGTTTAAGTTTATGTCTATTAATGTTTTATTCGCTTGCCACTTGTCTGATGCTTCTATATCTATAGATATACATTAAAGATAAGAAAATAAAAATTACCATAAATGACAATAAATGACAAAAATGACATATAAATGACATGTCACGTGTCAAATAAATAAATGACCGTCATTTTACATCCCTACATGTGGCAAATAAAAAATTTAATTTTGTCGACCAGTTTAATTTTTAGAGAACGCGATATAATACAAAATTTACGAAATTTTCCAAAATTCTCAATATAAATTTCTAAAATTCCTAAAATTTTAAAATTGCAGCTATCACAAACCAATAATTATATGTATAAAAAAATTAAGAAAAATACATATTTATGTTTAAAAATTTGATTGTTTTTCGTCACAACTACAACCTAAACTCGTACCAGCCAAGATTTTTAAACATCCAACAATGGCACTTAAATGTGTTTCTTTAACCCTTTCCTCATTATTTTATAAGGGATTTTTTTAAATATATTTTTTTACCTTTAGTTGCCATCCTTTGTCGTATCTTCTTGCATCTCTTCCTATGAGCTTTACCTCTCTCCTTAGCCGCCGTTTCGCGGGGATCTTCTTTGCTGACCGGTGCCTCCACTATCTGCCTCAGATTGTACTGTTCCAAATCATCGGGACCTAACGAATTTGGATTCGCCTGTTTAACCGCCTCCTGGTGCATACGACCGCGCAAATGACTTATCAGATATACCTCGGATTTTATCTAAAATGAAAATGTAGGTTAATGGAATTCTTTGTATTACAAAACTACGTTTAAACCAAAACTATGCCGTAAGTTTTGATTCGAAATAAAGACATTTTACTTACCAAAACATTGCAAACAGTGCACATTTTCTGTGTAGCATACGGTATAATATCCGGAGCTTCATCTTCATTATGACATTTCAATATGGACAATTCCAATGCTTTTTGTCGAATTTGTTCCATATTTTCTTCATGCCTTCTCTTAGATTCTTCCTGTTTCTGTTCAATTCTTTTTTGCAACTCCTGAGTGTTAGCTAATTGTTTTTCATGTAAAGCTGACAGTCTTTCCTATAAAAAAAATAATTTAGATCTTTTTTTATACGACACGGAAATAAGTAGCCTATTTTCTAGACTCCTACCTCTCTATCTCTAGCTTTTTCTCTGGCCAATTCCTGTCTTTCCCGCTCTCTCTGCTGCTGTTGCTGACCGATTCTCTCATCTCTCTGCCTCCTTTCGTCCTGCAAACGTCCCAATCTTTCTAACCTTATTTTTTCCAAAGCATTTCTTCTCTCTTCGACTGCCGCTTCTTTGGCTGCTTTTTCTTCTTGACGTTTTTTACGGTCTTCTTTTATCACCTGGATGCGGTCTTTCTGTTCCAAGCAAGATTTCATAAAATCGTGTCTAAAAATAAATTTAAATAATTTTTATATTTATAAAATCGTGTTTTCACCTTTTATTTTGAGCCTCAAGTTCGTTGATAAACGCTATTTCTTTAAGTTTTTCCTCTTCATCGTGAGCTTTTCGTATTATTCCTTTCAGGTGTTTTCTTCTGTTTTGGTCGGCCTTTTGCAATCTAAAATAAATAATTTTTAAACAAAAATAAGTTTAAATTATTCATACATTTTTTTAGATTTATTTAAGTTCGTAAAAAAAATTGCCTTATATATTTTTTCTTCGTTTTTTTTACAATAATTAATTTGACATATTTTATTCCTTTTGTATATAGCAACAATGTTGCTAGGAATATTTCCATCCGAATTTTGTAGAAAACTTTAAGGAAACTTTTGATAAAATATTCGCGCGAATATGTCAACCCGGCAACACCGGTTCCGTTGGAACAAAACAGATGGCGGAGCATTACCATCACAAAACAGATGATCACTTTTTTATAATCTTTGATTACTATTCTGTTTTGCGGAAAAAAATCAATAACTTTTTTATTACAAATAAATATTATTTTTTTCTTTATTTAATGTGTTAAATAGGAGTTATTACGTATAAGTAACTATATTTTAATCGAAAATTTTAAAGGTTTTTATTTTTTAAATGGGTTTTTAGATTATCATAAAGCACTGCTTTTTATTATTTTTTTAATTATTTTTAATGTGCAAGTACACAATGACAAACACAAATAAACAGCCATACCCCTGGTGGGATTCGAACCCACGACCACTTGTGGGTAATAAATAAAGAAATAAATCACAAACTTTTTTAATAAAAATAAATATCAATTTGTTTTCTTTTTTACTGTATTATATAAGGATTATTTCGTACAATTAACTAACTATATTTCAATCCAAACTAGGGTTGGCAAAATTTCACTTTTTGCTTGTACTTGAAATTTCACTTGAAATGTTCATGACATTTATGAAATTTATTAAAATTTCCTAAATTTCTGAAATTTCATGAAATTTATTGAAACTTTCAATAAATTTCAATCACTTTAAGTGTAATATATTAATATTGAAATAAGCCCACTCGGGGACCATGGCAAATTGCTGTGGGCCCCTGCACCAATAATATAAATAGTAAATACCTATGTTTACCACAAACTTTTTTAGATTTCCTTTTAAAATATTTTTAAAATTACTAAAACTAAAAGAGATATAGCACTTTTTGATAAGCTAATGAGATTGTGCCACTTTCATTGTTTTATATTTATATATATTTATTATTTTTAAATATTTTACTGAAATTTTACGAAAATTGAAGAAACTTCATCCAAATTTTATGAGCCAAAGGCATTTTTTATCCGTTTTCCGATGCAATTATAGCAAAAGTAAAAGTTTAAATTAATCATGACTTTTAAAAAAATTGTAAAGTCTGATTTAATTTACAAATTAAATTGGTAACTGAATTAAATTATTTAAATTAATTTATGCATATAATTAACAATAATTACTTATAGTGTATTCAAATCCAAGCCTACTAAACAAAAACGCCAAGACGCTTGATAACTCGTTCTTATTGGTCGATTCGGAATCTGTTGTAAATTATTATTAAAGGTCCCAGGGGAGGCCGCATGTGAAATTTATGCGAAATTTTCAGTAAATTGCGAAACTTTCAATGAAATTTCTGAAACTTTCACAGGCAATGTTGAAATTTTCGGATTGAAAATTTCAATTGAAATTTTTAAAAATTTCACTTTTCCAACTAAATGAAATATTTCAAGTTTGAAACTTTCAAAGTTGAAATTTTCATTTGAAAATTTCAACTGTCCCAACCCTAATCCAAACACATAGGTAAGGGTTTTTAATTTTTAAATGCGTTTTTAGATGTTCCTACAGCGTCAATTGCGAAAATAACCCAATAATTTTTTTATTGCAAAAAAATAATATTTTTTTATTTTTTACTTATTACGTATAATTATTAATTAACTTATATATTTTAATCTAAAAACATAACGGTTTTTATTTTTTAAATGCGTTTTAGATGGCCCAAGAGCATCAATTGAGGAAATAATCAAAAAACTTTTTTATTGCAAGGAAATATTTATTTTTTTATTTTTTACTGTGTTAGATTTAATAAGTATAATTAACTATATTTTAATAAAAAAAATAAAGGTCTTTATTTTTTAAATGCCTTTTTTAGATGATCGCGGTGAAACAATTGCGAAAATAATTCAATAACTTTTTATTGTAAATAAATACCTACATATTTTTTTTAACTATCTTAACTAAGCACACTTTAAGAAATAAATAAACATAATTTAAATTTTAATGCTTATTCCATTAATAATTCCTTAACTTCATCAAAAAAATCAAATCACAAAATGCAATAGTTAAATTTGTTTCGCTATATATAGAATATATTTATAAAATATTTTTCCTTTATCAAATCACAAAATGCAATAGTTAAATTTGTTTCGCTATATATAGAATATATTTATAAAATATTTTTCCTTTAAGATGCCTACAAAGCAAAGGATTATCTAGATAGCTATTAATTAATACCTAATAATTTGTTATGAATAGGTAATTAATTATTAATCCTATAGGATAGGAGGAAGTATTCTTTGTATACATGTTTTAATAATATTAAAAAAAATTTAATACATGATGTAATATTTATAATATTTAATAAATTCAACTAAAACTTTTAATCTGTGGGTACAAAAATCTTGAGTGCACAGGGCCGCCGATAGGGTATAGGGGGCCGGGGCAAATTTAATTCTTGGAGTCCCCTGACTAGAATCTAAATGTTAGGGGTGGAGGGAAGGAAGGGTCAATTTTTTCACACAGTAGTTAATACTAACTATATACTAATACTAATTATATACGACATCTAGACAGTAGTACCTAATAAATATAGCCCGGAATAAAAAGCTTAAAAAGCAGGTAATTTTTTTGGAAAAAGGCATAAAATAGGCTTAAAAAATAATTAAAAATCCAAGGTATAAGATATGCTTAAAAATCCATAAAAGGCATACAAAAAAATTAGAATAATTTATTTATTTGTTTATATAACATATAGTTGCTTGTTATTTAAACGATAAACATAATGCCTTAAATTCCAAGCTCTAGTAATAAATAAAAATATTAGAAATTAATGAAAATAATAAATGGAAACTGCTAAGCGATATGCTTTTATGACCGTCAAGCTTAATTTAATTTATAAAGGTATCATATTCTTTATTTTAAAATTACAGTACATACAGGTTTAAAGGGTTGGTCGATTGCTACTGCACTGACGAGCAGACGAAACGCTGCAGTACTGCCAACCACGCACCTCTAATAAAACACAAAACAAATCTGTCCGCTCTCTAAAAATGAATTTGCCAAAAATGACTAATTACTACAGTTATTAGTGGCTGCTTTTTCACTTATACCATGGTTAACGATGGAATACCATGCTATGCCCAACATTTCATAGCCAATTCTTATGTAAAATTTATCTCTGAATCCAAAAATACCATCAAAAATTATGAAAGTAGAGCAGTTTTTGAGATATAATCAATTCCATATTATTTGGAAAATTGACTATATCTCAAAAACTGTTCTACTTTTCTAACTTTTGACGAAATTTTACAAGGAAATTGACTGCTAAATGTTCGGGATACAAACTGCTATTGACGATAATTATTAGTGGCTGCTTTTTCGCTATGACAATTAATTTTTGACTAATTCATTTTTAAAGAGCGGGTATCTTTTTAAAAAAAAAGATACCCGCTCTTTAAAAAGAGTTGGCAAATGACCGGTCACATTGTTTTTGTGACCTGTCACATTGCGAATGTGACCGTCACTTATAAAAACGTAACAACATTACTTTAAACAATAGCTTGCGTTGAGAGCTTTTCATTGATATCAAATACTTGTGTTTTTTTATTAAATTGGTTAAGTTTTTAATAAAAATGTAATTTTTTAAAATTTAAACTAAAATTATAATTTGCAGGGACTTTTCAAATGCAAATTTTAAAAGCAATGAATTCTTGTGGGTTTTAAATGCATTTAATACAAAAAAAATACAAAAGTATAAAAGTGCTCTTTTAGTTCCACCCTTACTTCTTAAGAAGTCCCATAAGCCAACTGAATGGCTTGTGCGGGTTAGGGGTAGGAACGGACCGCGGGCTTAAAGTCCCCTCCGAAAAAACTTTATTTTTGGAGTAAGCTCATTATTATTTAATATTTTTAAATAAAAAATCTTAATATTTTTATACTTTTTTGTAGCTATGCCTGGCAAAAAATTCTTATATTTGACCAGCAATTAAATTATTTAACTCTTGGAATTTAAACAATTGATTTTCGTATTAAAACAATCATTCGATTATCTCATCAATAGTTTGTACTACAAATTTAGGTATTTTAAAATAGGAAGCATTAAAATTAAAATAATTTATAAATTTATATTTACCTACTTTATTTATAAATAATTTTTTTGAGATCACATTTGCTATACTTACATAAAACTTAAAAAACATTAAACATTTTTAAATAAAACTTCCAAGATCAAAACATTAAAGAATAAAATATGAAAGTTACTATTTTATGGCAAAATTTGTGTTATAACAATTTTTAGACCATCAACAAAAATTGTGTTTGCATCCAGGTTATCATCAAGTTTTTTAATTTTAAATGAATCAGTTTTTTAATGTTATCTGCATGGACATTTTTTACAGATTTTTACATGTTTATTCATTCTGGTTGCATGCATATATTTAACTTTACAAAACACACATTTTTACCATTTTTCAAAGTTTTATCGAAATAATTCCAAACCATTTTAAATTAATAATAAAGTTTATTAAATAATCCCGATTAACAAATTCAGACATTATTTACTAACGTTTTAAGGTTAGGATACAAGTTAACACAAGTTAAATTCCTTCGCGATTTACCCGCGAAATTTAAAATCGGTAACTTTTAAAAATTGGTCGGTCACTTATGAATGTGACGGTCACTTATGGTCACATATCGGCCAACTCTTCTTTTTTTCCTAAAGGAGTAAAATTTGTATTTTGAACTATCAAGTTATTGTGGGTTTCATAGAAATATTTATAGACTAATGCATTATTGAAAAAAAGTTAGTTGTCGCGGCGAATATTTCAAATTTCGTCATCAAATTCTGAACCAAGCATTGCAATTATTGTTTTCTTTTACGTATAATCCAAGGAACCGCTAGGTTAACCGTATGTCGAGAAATCGGTGTTTGACATTCGGCATTGATGACGCAATTTGAAACATTCCCCGCGACGACTATAAATAAACATATTCGTTGTTTTTAATTTTTGAATTATTTATCCCCCAGGCCCCCCCTGACGTTGGGGGCCTGGGGCAATGTGCCCCTTTTGCCGCCCCCCTCTTGGCGGCCCTGCGTAGGTAGACAATGCCTTAGTTAGGTACGAGCGCTCGCGATTTAGCTATGCAGCGCGATAAATAAAAATTCATAACTTTTCCATATGTGCGTATATCCAGATAATTTACTTATAAAGTAAAGTTTACTGAACAACCTCATGTAGATACAACGTGAAAATCGGAGGTAATCGTAGTTAAATGCCTATATGAATTTTTTTCTCTTAATTTTAAAAATGTGTTTAAAACGTTATAACTTTTAATTTTTATTATTTTATTCAAATAGGAATTTTTATATATGTAGATTAACGTGTACTTTAAACCCATCAAATTTATAAAAAATGTGTAAATTGACAAAAACTAACTTTATACTAAACCAAAATTTAATATTTTTTAAAATGATTTCTTATAAATTAACTCACCTCATTTCCATCCTTCTTCTCTTCTCCTCAATAAGATCATTTTTAGCAGACTTAACATCTTCTACTCTCGCCCATAGAGCCTGCAACTTCTGCGCCTTTTCCTGCTGCAAATCTTGACGCCTCTGTTGTGCGCGCGCCTGTTTCGCCTGATACTTTTTCAGGGTTTCCGCTAGACTTCTCCTTCTCGCTGGATTTGACAGTTTTTGATGCAATTCCAGTGCTCTACCAGGGTGTCTTGCGTTTAGAGCCTCTAGAGCGGCTAGGGTGTCAATTCGTTCACTCCAGGACATTTCTTTTAAAAAATAAACAAATAAATGTGTGTTCCTTTGTGTTGCCAAAATGCTACTATTAAAATTAAGTTAATTAACTATTCATATAATTTTAAAATTGTTATTGTTGTGAATACTAATTATTAAATATAGAAGGGAAAGTTTTAATACACTTTCGCTGATTTTACGGTGGTTTGCACAAAGATTTTTAAATATTTATGATGAAGGTGCATTTATTTACAAATAACATTGTTTCAAATATTATTATTAAATTAAATTTAGTAATTTTTGTCATGATAAAAGTAATTTTTATATGTAATTTGACCAAATTTAGTTCATTTACAATATTTCCATTTGTTATGTTTCTTTTATTTCCAATTTCTGATATATTGTGTTAAATTTTTTTTAGTTAAAGAAATTAATTAAAATTGATTTTCAGAGTGGTGTAGCGGTCATTGAGAAGTGAAGTGTTAAGTGATATGAATGAGTTAAGTGCCACCTGTCATTGGACGCTTTTCACTAGACAGACAAAGGAGGTCAAACAAGAGGGGAGGTGGCCATCCGCAAAAAAATTTATAAGTTACCTTAAGAATATGCATGACCTAATACAAAATCTGCAATTTAAATACGGCAGATATCTTTAAAACATATGAAAGGCACACGGAGTAGGGCAATAAATCTGTCAACAACAAGTGCGTAATGCAATCCCAAACGAAACCGAAAATAAACACTAGACTCACAGAATAAACTAACATTAATCATAATAACCCTAACACAGTAAAAAAAAAGCCTAATAATCAAACTCTACTAGATTTGTAATCATTAGATAACAGAATAATTGCGCTTGTCATTTGTTTAACTAATAAATAAATGCAATACTTAATTTTGGAATTTAAGAATAAAAGACTAAACTCTACCACAAAACGTGCTTGGGACAAATTTATTAAAAACAACTGACACACTTTACCAAGTGCAGGAACTATCTGACCAGGACACGGACAATGACAATAACGAACAAGACAAAGACCTCGACTAGGAAACTACACCCCTGCAGCGAAATAACAACTTCCCAACTCCAAATAGTAATCCCAAATGTTTGGAGTAATACTAATCGACTTGTCTAGGGGGATTCCGCGTCGTACTTAGTTTTAAGTCGGCGTAATTGTCCCCCAAAAACCAACACCCTCCCGTCCCTCCTCCTATACCCCACTGAGCGTATAGCATAGGCTCGGCGAACCCGAGAATGGCTATTAAAACTATTCGCCTCTCGCTCTCGAGCCCCAAATAGGGGACAGTACGGAACGCAATGGTCATTCGCACCCAGCCAACACGGGTGAAGCCGTGCAGTTGCTGGGGAAGAACAAAAATCGGCGTAAGTAAACATAGGCCTGTACGGGGTTCGAGAGTCAAGAGGAAATAGGGCTGGTTATACGTCTCTTATACTCTAATTCAAACTCAAATTAATTAAAATTGATTTTATTTTTGTTTTAGGAGATATATTAATTTTATATGTCACAGTAAATTATGCAGGAGTCTTTTGAACATTTTTAAAAATAAAATACCATTTAGTAAATTTTTTAGTAAGTTGTTAGTAAATCTACAAATGGACTGTGGCAGCCCCAATTGAATGTTGTATTTTTTGTTCATAATTGCCAATACACAGATTTGCCAGCCTTTAAGAGAAGCAAAGACCACTGCACTCACCAAGGGTGACAGTATATTCGTCAAGAAATTTAGAAAATCAATTCTGCCTGATGTCTAGAGGTTATTTCAAATAACTTATTTGCACATTTTAAAATAAAATGTGTATTAGACGTTTTAAAAAATCGCACAGTTGGGTCGGGACATCCGAAGTGGATAGACGTGTCAAGTGGTTAAAGAGACCTCTCCTAGCAGCGTATACGAGAGAAATATAATAAAGTTCCAAAAACAAACCAAAGTATTCGGAAATATCGGTCATCGGTAATAATAAATAAATAAATAAATAAATAAATAAATAAATAAATAAATAAACATTCAAGTGCGGAAAGTGTGATAAGGGCAACAAGTGCAAAAAGAGTGCAAAAAGTGCAAAAAAAAGTGAAACAAGTGTGAAGAGTGGGAGATCTCCCATTAAAGCCGTAAAAGAGTGCAATTGAATAAGTAATAAAGGCCAACGGTCCACCTGGTCAGAAGGGATAGTCGCAACCAAAACCTATCAAGTACCTGCAGGGAGGTCCAGAAACATCGGACAGACCGTGAAAGACCGAGCATCAGGATTATAGCCGAATATCCAAGCTAAGTAATTTTTCTAACTGCACACTGAGAAAACGAAATATTTAATATTAAGAAATCAAAACAGTTGCGATTTTTTTAAAATATTTGTTAACTATTAAAAAATTTCTTAATCGTGAACAAATTATATACTAATTATTAAAACATCGTCCGGTGACTGTGTTTTAGACAAATAAAGGATAAAGTTGTCTTGGAACTGTGATATATTAACGGTTAATATACCTAAATAAAACGTTTTAACATTTGTCAACATAATTTTAAATGCAATATGCGCAAGCATGTGACGTTGCCGTAGTTTTTTACAAAATGGAATTTCGATATATTAACAGTTAATATATCTACATTTGCTAATACGTTATGAGCTTCTTTAATTCAACTTAACCAGTTCTTAGACCCAAATTAATATTTCTTTCGCCATATCCAACTCAACGATATGTTAATAGTTAACGTGCCTCGTTATTAACAAATATTTCGTTCTCTCAGTGCATGTCTATTAACAAACCATTTTATTCCAAAAAATCTAGTAAAACGTATCATATTTCGAAAAGGAATTTTAAGTTTCCCAGCTGGCACCAGAAAGTAAACATTCCTATTAGACAGACCACACAAGTCATTACATAAACAAAACAGAAAAGGCAGATAAGACTCCATCCCCCAAATAAACACTTGACTAATACCATAAAGAAACGCCAAAACATAAATAATAATAAACACAAACCAAACAAACATGGAAAAAGTAAACACGAGCAATCATTCGGTGGGAATAATTAAAATGCCATCCGACGGAAATTGCTTAGTGGCCAGCTTGGCCCATCAACTAGAAATAGCCTGACAGGGTCAATAAATACATACGCATTAAGACAAAGACTAAATAACCACTTACGAACACACATGGAGACTTACAGCCCATACTTACAGGATGCGATCCTTGACCATCCCCACCGCTACGCGCATATTAACGACTGGGAACGCAAAACAGAGGCGTACTTAAAGGACCACGCACAAAACGGCTTCTGGCTGGGTTTAGAAACAATAATAGCAGCATCAGACATATTTAACGTCGCAATCGAAATACATCACGAACAGGGGCGTACTGACAAGATATCCTTCAGACATAACAATAGCAACCGGTCAAAAAAAAGTCGGTAGATCTTGCTACACATTCCACGACACCCTGGCTCAGACAATCCAATTCTCACAAACCGATCTCGCCAGCTGGGAACAAATCAGCTCCCACAAAAACCGTATGCGGGAGGAGACGGAAAAACTGTATCAACTTCCGGAATCCGACTCGGAGACGGACACAGAAACTGACGAACCGGAAGTAAACCAACAAAGATAGGAGTAAGAAACTAACTAACATACCCACCCCCCATTCACGAATACCAATTGAATGGGGGTACTACTAAGGCCTAGGTTGAGGAGGATTCCGGATTGTACTTAGTTTTGGGTCAGTTCAATGTCCTCCAAAAACCCTTCCTAAACTGGACGTATGGCCCGACCCGGCTGACAAAAATTCCGGGAGCTGCCTTAACCTTTGACACTGTCATCCACGAACTCCTAGGGTGGATCTACCAACCGGCGTAAAAACTTCGGATCCAACAAACACAGGTAATGCTGTGATTTGGCGGGATACGCAGGAGAACGGAAAGGGGGTAATATAACCCCGGGTTCAGTGGATGACAATATATCTGGGGCTTGCCATACGTTCCCATACTCATACTCATACTCATACTCATTAGACGTTTTAAAAAATCACAAATTTAAGTATGTGCTTTTTTAGACTCTTTTATAAACTGCGCACCAGTCAATGTGTCGCGACCAAAAATTTCGTCCTTTTTCAAAACGACATAACTTTTTTGTTTCTTGAACGATTTTATTTTGGTTTGTAATGTCTGCTAGCCCCATTCTCTGGAAATACATGCTATAGATATGAAGCTCACGGTTATTCAAGTAAATTTTCTACAGGGTGATATGTAAAACGGTGAAAAATTTCAAAAACTTCATCCAAGCCCCGTTTGTACAAAAAATATTTTTTTCTAGTTTTTACTTTGAAATAATGAATTATTATGTCTTACCTCGAAACGTTTTTCAAATTTTTCGAATTGAAATCTTAGCAACAAAAATATGATTTTTTTTTTCAAAAGAGTACATTTGATGCTTTTTTGTAGGCAATACACTGAGCCTTTTTAAGATAAAAAAGATAAGATGGTGAAAGATTGTTCCTTGAATAATTCTAAACAAGCGAAAAGCAACAAACTTCCATTAATTTCAGAGGAACCTAAGTAAAGACCACTTTTTCAAAATGACATTTTTTAGAAAATTTGCGAAAACTAAACCTGAACCGATATTTACGTTCGTGACATGTTTGCTTTATAATTTTGACCTCCTGATGTGATTTAGTTGTCAAATTTAAGTTTGAGATAAAACCAAAATCCCAAGAATCAAAATTCGAAAACAATTCCCGGCTGTTAAATGTCTCAATAACATGCCTTTGCCAATAAAATTTGGGGATTCATTTTTGTTTGAGTGGTTAGGATAATGTTACATAAATTACATTTATATTGCGCACTAGTGATAACTTATTACTGAGAAGTACCTACCTAATTGGTAATAAAGTTAAAAATACAAAATTTGTTTGTTTATTTTTGAAAATTTTATGCGAAGATATAATCACAATAAAAACTACAACATTCAACAGAAAAATGTAACAAACAATAACAATAATAACTTTCAGTATTTCGTTGGCCCTCCCCTAACCCGTAATAATTCGTTAACCCTCCTGAGCATTCCCTAGGCCAAGTTCCTGGGGTATATATTCCCATTCTTCCTAAATCGAATTTACCAATTCATCCAAATTTTCCATGCGTCCTTTCCTCTCTTCCATCTTCAGTTTCATCCTGCTCCACACATGCTCAATAGGATTCATATCCGGAGACAAAGGTGGCCAATTCATTCTCTCAATATCATGGTCCCTTAAATACTCATTTACGATATAAGCGCGATGCGGACGGGCATTGTCGTCCACCAACACCAAATTATTGGCATTTAATTTTCATCATTTGATTCTTGATTTGATCATTCAGTGACATGATAATAACGTACTAAAAATGCAAAACACAGTAAAAAAACAGTAAAATCCATCAATCAGATTTTATTCAGACATTTAACATCCAGGAATTGTTTTCGAATTTTGATTTTTGGTGATTTTGGTTTTATCTGAAACCTAAATTTGACAACCGAATCACAATCAGGTCAAAGTTATGAAGAAAACATGTCACGAACGTAAATATCGGTTCAGGTTTAGTTTTCGAAAATTTTCACTAAAATGTAATTTTGAAAAAGTGGTCTTTCTCTGAAAATAATGGAAGTTTGTTGCTTGTCGCTTGTTCAGAATTATTAAAGGAACAATCTTTCACCATCTCATCTTTTTGTTTTTAAAAAGGCTGAGTGTATTGCCTACAAAAAAGCATCAAATGTACTCTTTTGAAAAAAAATCATATTTTTGTTGCTAAGATTCCAATTCGAAAAATTTGATAAACGTTTCAAGGTAAGACATAATACTTCATTATTTCAAAGTAAAACCGAGAAAAAAATATTTATTTTACAAACGGGGCTTGGATGAAGTTATTGAAATTTTTCACTGTTTTACATATCACCCTGTAGTAAATTTACTTGAAGAACCGTGAGCTTCATATCTATAGCATGAATTGCCAGTGAATGGGGCTAGCAGACATCACAAACCAAAATAAAATCGTTCAAGAAAATAAAAAGTTATGTCGTTTTGAAAAAGGACGAAATTTTTGGTCGCGACACATTGAGTGGTGCGCAGTTTATTAAAGTAAGTATTTTTTAAATCTTACCTGCCAACATAGGTTCATATCTGGCCTCTAACGACATATCTTCGTCATCGAAAGTCGTAATCACGCTGTTGCCATCCTCCTCGGTATCCCCCTGCATCTCACCGTCGGTCTCCGTACCATCAGTCTCAGTATCAACCTCAATCTCCAAACACTGCAGTTGCTCAATTTCTTTAGTCAACCTTTCTTCTTCCTCAGATAGTTGTCGATGTTCCTCTTCTGTTGCCAGGTCGTCCTGCATCTCCATTTCCTTTAGTTTTACCTCTTCGTCGGTTTCCGAGTCATCGGACATTTTTTTGTTCGCGTTCTTGTCTTGGATAATTTTTTTGTTGTCGAAGATTGTTTTTTTAATGTTTAGGTTGGTTTTATTTTTTTCTTCTATTGAGTATTTGTTGAGGCTCATTTTGGAAAGGGTTGTGTGTGATCTTTTTAATAAACCTAGGAAGAATAACAATAAAAAATATTGCTTTATCAGTTTTTAACAATATATCCAATGGACCATAATTTTTTTAGAAACTTGAGGAAAAGAACAAAAAAAATTACATAAATTGTTACACATTAGTTGTCAAAATGAAAATATTAATCCATTTAGAATAATACAACAAAATCATAGGATTTTGTAATAGATTAAAAAATTAAAAAATCCGAAAAGGTATCTTACATTTTGTTTTAAATATGAAAATATATACAATAAAATATCAAAAAAACATGATGTTGCATGAAAGTCAACCATGTAAATATAAAAAATGAAAGACCTAAAACAGTTTACTAACCTTTATTGTTAGCATCCAAAGTACTGCTCTGCAAAGACTTTAACGTGTTTAAATTTTCTTTGACGCTTTTATCGATGGACTTGTTGCCTTTCTGACCGGCATCGCCGGGTTTTTCTGGGAAAAGCGCCAGGGCCGGTAAACTAGCCGTGGCACTGACCTGGTGAAAACGCGTTGCCCAAGACAGGGCCGTATCCGACCTACGCGACTTGCCGGTGTTGCCACTGCTGCCCCCACTGCTGTTTTTGAACCTAATGTTAAATGAAAATGTTCATTTTGGATCATGGAAATGTAAAATTTAAGCAAACATTTTATAACAATGAGACATGATCTCGAAAACTACTACTATAGAGATTTTTGGTATCAATTTTTAGTTCAGAATGACGATTATTTCCATAAACAGGCGTGTCAACACTTACAAATGAGGCAAATGCAACAGTATTTAAATCGTTTGAAAATGGCGGTAAAGTACATACTAGAGGAATATACTTCATTCGTCTTCATGTCTTGACACGACTGCTACACCAGTATTGTATCGTGAAACTTGCGTTTTTTCAAACGTTGAAGAGTTTTTTAAAAAAAATTTAAGAAAGGCAGGAAATTCTTTTGAATGACAAACTCTCTACCGACTCTTAAAATAATAAATATCAAATATTCGCTTGAGAAAAGAACAACTTTGGAAATGTATTCACATTTTATTTATAAATATGATGTTTAGCTTGTGTCAAAAAACCCGCACAGCCTTCCTAAGTTCGTATGAGCTCATATGTAATTTTTCATAAATTTTACCTAACGACGTGAGGCTCACGTTCCGAGTTCTTAACGCATTCATATGTGATCAAATGAGCGCAAAGTGTGAGATCTAAAAGAAGAATGTGCGCGCACAGTTATAATGTAGGTTACAATTATTAATTGACATATTATTTTGAACGCGTATGCCCGCCCCACTTAATTTCAAATTAACTCAAGGGATGATTTCTTTCTCAGGCCATGAGCTTAGGTGATACACAAATAAGCAAACTACATGAGAAATCAATCACGGCGTGGGGTAAACTGAGAAAAATCTGGTTGCCGTGCAGGAGGGAATAATTAAAATATGATCCTTAAAATATATATCCGTGGTTAGACGATTCCTGTTTTTGGCACAACATGTGCTTGCTAATATACTATTACTTACCTAGATCTGCATTTGACGGTAAACCATCCATCGGCCTGTTCAGGTTCATCGTTATTTAAAGTTTCTGAAGAACTAAATATGCTGTTGCTAGAATTTGTTATGTTTTCTGATGATCTTCCTTGATTCACTAAAGTTTCAACTGAACTGGCGTATTCATTTGATGATAGAGACTTGGAGAGATCTTTTTTGGAAAGGGTGGTTTTGGCTTTTTGAAGAAAAGATATCTAAAAATGTATAAGTGTAAAAATACACTTACCGACAAAAGAACCGGCCACTAGAAATTGGCCAGAATTTTAATGTTGTCATCTAATTTTGATATTCTTTTTTAATTGTAGGTTCACCTACGATGGTTTGGTGAACATTTTTTTTTCAGATTTTTATTTAAGCATAAACAGGGTGAGTTTTAAATTGACGCGTTCCTTTTAACAGCGTGTAGAAATCAGATAAACAAATAAATATTTTAAGTAACTTTTTTATCAAAACTCAAAAATAAGAGAGTTAATTAAATTTTGAGCCGGTCCTGGCTATTGTTAACAAAAAACATAACCATAAAATAAAAATAACTAAATAAACAATGCAAAATGTCATCTATGACAACAAACATAACCATTTAAATCAAAATGACATTTAGCAATGAAAAATGTCAGTTTTTTGTGCCTCAATTATTGTTAAAAATGCTTCATAATTATAGCAATAATGAATTAGTGGAAATGTTACTAATTTATGGAGAGTGTCGTCAAAATGCAAATGCTGCAACTTAAGTAAATAATGACATTTTTTATTGCAAAATGTCAATTTGATTTAAATGGTTATGTTTGTTGTCAAATATGACATTTTGCATTATTTATTTTGATATTTTTATGGTTATGTTTTTCGTTAACAATAGCCAGGACCGGCTTAAAATTTAATAAAACTTTGATGGGCTATAAGTTTTTTATTTTTGAGTTTTGATAAAAAAGTTACTTGAAATATTTATTTGTCTAGCTGATTTCTACACACTGTTAAAAGGAACGCGTCAACTTAAAACTCACCTTGTACAGGGTCCAAGAGTAAGAATAAGTTTTGTTCCCAAAATTTGTAAAACTCTGTGGAGTGCATCAGCAATAACAGTGGATGTCAATTAAAACCATACTGTAGTACTTTATTTTCTAAACATGTTTTTTAAATCACGTTATTATCTCTGAGCCATTCCACGCGTAACGGATACTACAGTTGCCGTGTTTTTATTTACAAAATAATATTGTTCTATTATATTACCAATGTCAAATTTTAAAAATAGTTCCAAACTAAAGCTGTTTAACAAGGTTTTTATTTGGCAAAATTAGGTATCGTGATCGACTGTTTAATTCCTTAAAAATTAATAATTTAAAGCGTAACGGGCGGGACTATTGCAAAGTCCCGACCGTTACGCTTTAAATTATTAGTTTTTAAGGAATTAAAGAGTCAACCACGATACCTAATTTTGCCAAATAAAAACCTTGTTAAACAGCTTTAGTTTAGAACTATTTATAAAAATTTGACATTGGTAATATAATAGAACAATATTATTTTGTAAATAAAAACACGGCAACTGTAGTATCCGTTACGCGTGGAATGGCTCCTCTGTTATTAACAAGATGCACTGTATTAAAGTCAACGCCTTAGGTAAAGAGTTCTTAATAGACACATAACGTTGACTTCGACCATTTTCAGTTAACGCTAAAATACGAAGAAAATCCGTCACAGATAACAATATTTTCTCATTTGACAATATCATATTTTAAAATAACTGACATCCGTTCCAGCGTATATCGACTTTACACTTATTTCTTTTTACATGCGAAGACTTTATCCGGTGCGTTTGCTTTAAAACTGCGTATCTTTGTTAATAACGCTAATTAAAACACATAATGTTTACAGTAAAATTTCCATTGACATCCGCGGTTGTTGCTGATACATCCCACAGGGTGTCTTAAATTTCGAGGGGGAAAATCGTCTTAATTTTGTATCCTGTATATGCTTAAATTAAAATCTAAATAAAAACATATTACAGCATTGTTACTAAACAGTTAAATCATCAAAATCGGATAAGCAGTTCGCGAGGAATTCATATGAACACTTTATCCGAGGAGTTGGCTTGAAAACAGTTTATTTTCGTCAATAACTGATATAAAGCGTGAAGAAAAATACAAAATCTTCCGAAAAGATAGGACTACAGTATAATTTTAATTGACATCCGCTGTTATTGCTACGAAGTCGTAGAAGGGCCAACAAAAATTGTACAAAATTAAGCCAAAACTAACTTTTATTTTTGCAATTTCTACATTTTGTACATTTTTATTGGCCCTTCTACGCCTTGGTAAATTGCTGATGCACCTCACAGGGTATGACAAATTTCAGAAAAAAAACTTCTTATTTTTGCACCCTGTGTATGCTAACATGAAAATAAAAATGTCCATAGCATCTTTAAGGAAGAGTTATCCTACATTTAAAAAAAATCATCAAAATCAGATGAGCGCTTCGCGAGGACAACATTGTTGCTATTTTCTGGTGCCCGTTTTTTTGCCGGTAAGTTTATAATAAATATATCTTACCTTAGGATTAATTTTTGGCGTACTCTGTCTTCTAGCAGCAACAACACTCCTAACATCTCCTCCAGCCTTACCGTTATTACTAATATTATTACTAATACTGGCATTATTTCTCCTTAAGCCATACTGCCTCCCTCCATTTGTCTTCATATCACCAATAGTCTTGCTTCTAGCCAACCCCGCTCTATTAAAACTACTTCCCCCTCTTCCCCCAAAACTATCGCCATTGACAACTTGTCTACTACTGGCACTATTAAAATTCCCAGTAACAACCCTTGTGGACGTAAACGGCTTGACGGACTTCGGTCCTGTAAGCGGTGTTGCCACTTGGCTCTTCGCTTCACTCTTTGGCCGCTGCGGCGCTGCGATTTTTGCCGAAGCGCTTCGTGCCAGTGCGGTCGAGTAGGCCGGTCGCACTGTTGCCAAAGGTTTTGTTGTTGTTGTTGGTTGAACGGTTTTGACGGGTTTTTGCGTGAGGGTGGGCGATTTTTTTTCCGGTTGTTGTTCTACGTCCGTTTGGCTTTCTTGGTTTACCTGGAATATTAAAAATTGGAAAATATTAATACCGAACATTTGAAAAAAAATTAAAAATTGGACTTTTAAAATTAAAAAATAGGCTAATATTAAGAGTAATAAAATGATGAGATATTAAATACTAAACAAATATAAAAAAAAACAAATGTGGTTTTAACCACAATCCATACAACAAGGTCTGTTCGATCTCGTACTAAAAATACTAAAAATCACTGCAACACTGCACATCATTTAATGGCGGCCATTTTTGTTGTTTACAATTCTTGTGCTTTGGGTTTGTACAGATTAACAATCGTTTTAAACGTTGTGTTTATTACAAATAACCTTCAAATTGACATTTGACAGCCCTGATAAAATAAGGTTTATTTTTTAAAAAAGAGGAGTAAAATTATTGTTCTTACAACTTTGATGTCCCTTTTAAGGCTTGCAAGTCTCTGTGTAAGAAACACAACGTTTAAAACGATTATTAATCTGTATAAACCCAAAGCACAAGAATTGTAAACAACAAAAATGACCGCCATTAAATGATGTGCAGTGATTTTTAGTATTTTTAGTACAAGATCGAACAGACCTTGTGTGGATTGTGGTTTTAAAAATAATTTTTAAAGAAAGTTTTGTTTTCATACGCCAAAGTGTATTTTGTATCTCACGAGCTCGCTCATGAGATTTCCATAAAAAAAAACAAAGTATAAATATTAATCAATTTTTAAGCTGTCTACATGGTCCTATTTTGTTTCTCAAGAGAAATTTCTTTTTAAAAATTCGTTTCTAAACTTGGGCAACAAAAGAGGATCATGCTTATGGCTTAGAAATTGATTATTACAGTATATTTTTAGCACTTTTTAAAATAGTACTTTTAAATTTTTTGTTGGCATATTAATGATAATTTAATTTGTAATAAAGTGGATAGTTGTTAATTCAATTACGTTTTATTTTTACTACACTGGCACTGCTGAATTTGATGTCATTTATCAAACTCTTCAAATGGAGATACTACCTTAACTAAGGTAAAATTCCGTAAGTATAAATAAATAAAAGCATTTTTCTAACAAATATTATTATGCTATGTTGTAAATCAAGAAAAAAAAGTTAAATAAAAAACAAAATTTAACAGATGCTTAACAGATAAAAATATTGCATGGTTTAAATGGTTACCAGTTAAAAGTGCATAAGGTTAGGAAAAAAAATTGTCAGCATTCTGAATTAAAAATATATAAAAAGGTATATTAACTGGTACTGTAATAAATTTAAAAATAAACATTGACATGCAATGAAAAAATAACACAGTAAGTGTGATTTGCACAAAATGATTTTGTCAAAATCCAATATGAATCTTGAAAAAACAATATTCAAAATTTTGAAAAAGTTAAAAATAGTATAGAATTATACAGTTTAATTCATAAAAAAATGTAACTGAAAAATGACACATAGTACAGTCATCTTAGTCAAAAAAAGGGATCAACCTCGGAATCTAACGGAATAAGCTGAATTTTTGTGAAAACCTTTATTTTAGCATTACAAATGTTGTCTCAAAAGTCACATATGCCAACGCGTGAGCGGCCTTAGATATTCAAGGTCAAAGGTCGCAAAAATCAGTTTTTTAAGAATATCTCGTTTTCTCTGCCTCCTATCGTATTCGCATTTATTATAAAAGTTGTAGAGAATGAAATTCTCTACAAATTTTGTTTACAAAATTTTTTTATACGTCGAATTGTTTTTGAGATAGAGGGCGCAGTGTGGAGCGCTCGGCCATACGTACCTTTAGCGCAAGGTAAATCGTGAATCCCAATCTATTATACCGTTTTTTTTAATTAATAATATAATAAATATTACTAAAATAAAAATTTAATACCCTATTCTTATATTTATATTTCTTTTAAATCAAATATATTTTATCTTCATATATATCTTATATTTTAATTTAATTTTAATGAAGGATAATTGGATCGTAGTAGGAAAAAATGTTTTTATTTATATCAATATTATTATTATTATTAATCTTTATCTTCTTCATCCTCATCTTCTTCAGGTTGGCCAGCAATTTCAGACTCATTCTCATCATCACTCTCCTCGTTATCATTAATTGTCATATCTTCAAAAACTTACTTATAACGCGTTTGTATTTTGTAGATTTTTTTGCCTTTGTTGCCTCATCTGCGACTTCACCACAAAATAAGCAAAATATTTTAAAATCAAACACATCATTCCCTTTTTTACGAGGTACAGTCGATGACGTTGAAGGTCCAGTCTCTTCAAGGCGACGCGTCGCCTTGAAGAGCAGCAGCAGCAGCAGCAAAACGTCGCGACGTTTTGCTGCTGCAATTTTACTATAGTAGTACGCTATAGCGTACAATTTTTGCCACTCAATATGAACGTTCACAGAAGTCAAAGTATGTAGGTAGTTTATGTTTATTTCTCTCAGTAATTGCTTCTTTTAAAGTCTTTATACCGCGCACAAAAGTCGCAGAATCACCTTCAGAAAGTAACTTATTACAAATTAAACACAAATCAGCCATGTTAACCTTTAAAATATTACGAATATTATCTGTCAAAACCCTAGACCTATACCTAGGGTCACAACTTGCTTAAATATAGGTATACCTAACCTTTTTATTTATAGCAAGCCCACTATAGTATTTCCAGGTCTGTTATTTTAAAAGTAATATCTGGATCCAAGAGATGACCAGAGACATATTCAAGGCAAATTCATTTAATGTATTTTCTTCTTAAAATGCATTTATCATTAATTAGAATAACATTAGAATATATTTAGAATGATTCACTTCATTATTTAATTATTTTTATGTCAAAAGTAAGTAATATTTAATGACTATCTGTTTTAAAAAAATATATAAAAATAAATATAAGGTTTTAAATTGTTATTTAAGTAATATTTAATAAATAATTAATTAAAAAAACGGTATAATAGATTGGGATTCATGATTTACCTTGCGCTAAAGGTACGTATGGCTGAGCGCTCCTCACTCTGCGCCCTCTATCTCAAAAACGATTAGACGTATAAAAAAATGTTTTAAACAAAATTTCTAGAGAATTTTATTCTCTACAACTTGTATAATAAATGCAAATACGATAGGAGGCAGAGAAAAGGAGATATTCTCAAAAAATTGATTTTTGCGACCTTTGACCTTGAATATCTAAGACCGCTCACACGTTTTCATATGTGACTTTTGAGACAACATTTGTAATGCTAAAATAAAGGTTTGTACAAAAATTCAGCTTATTCCGTTAGATTCCGAGGTGAAATGCCTAGATGACTGGACTAACATACAATGATAATAAAAACCAAGCATTTTTGTAACTTAGAGCTTATATGGATAGCGTTCGAAAAGGAACCAAGCGCCAAAAACTTTTTTTGGGGTAAACAAATTTATTTGCAAAATAGCTCATTTTTAATGCTCCTCAAAAAAATAATAATAATTTGGAAACCTTCTCAATCCTTGCCCAGGAAAAGTTGTTGGCGCTTGGTTCCTTTTCGATAAGCATTATCCATATGTACTCCAAAATATTGTTAATAAGAATTATTACTTTTACCTTGACAACATTCAATTTCTTAACAGGTGGCAATTTGGGAAAATCTTCAGTGCTTGTACTTTTTTCGACACTTTGAATCCCAACATCCAAAGTTTTTTGAGAATCTTCCCCAACTAAATCTGCTTCTTTGACATTATTTGCACTTAAAACAGGGTTTTCCAAAATCGCTTTTTTATCTGCATCATCTTGTGGTAGCTTTTCTTTAGTAATTGCAGATTTTAAATCATCATTACTTTTCTTGTTACCATTTTTAGTTAATTTTATAGGTTCAACTGTTTTGGGTTTTATAGGAATGTTTTTTACTTCTTTTTTGACCAAAACTGTAGGTTTTACATCTCTTACTTTTGTTGGAACTTTTGGTTTAACTTCAGTAATTTTAGAAACCTCAGTTTTCTTTTTTGAGGGCTCTACTTTTGATGTCTTACTACATATTGCACTTTTAGTTTCAGTTTGTTTTTCCTCTACTATCTCTTTTTTAGCCTCAATACTTTCTTCAACATTTAAATTAATAATTTTACCCTCAAAAATTGGTTGATCTATACTTGGTAAAGGACTTGTAGGACATGAACTAGAACCTTTTCTTACATTCAATAATTTTCCAGAAACAATAGGACTATTCCTGCCTGAACCTAAACTGGGACTGGACTTTCCAGATCTACTGGGTTTGTTTAAGTTAGTTTTGCAAATATCCCAGGCCAAAGAATTTGGCCGCTGAAATGCTGGTGTATTCTCATAGTCCCATTTAATTTTAAACCACTCCGCTAGAGCGCTAAAATCCCGTAAATAATTTTCAAGAACTAATAAAACTTCTTGACATTCAGTTATACTTTCATGTGACTCCACTGTATTGTATATTTCAGAGATCTGAAATAAAACCCAAATTAAAAATGTTTCATTATTAAGGCCTAAAATAAAATAATTTAATATTTAATATTAATGTTTTTAATGCCAGTAACGCAGTTTGAAATACTAACAATAATAAAAAAATTAAAAAACAAACAAAGCAGTGGAATAGACGAAATTCCCACCTGCATAATTAAATTATGTGCAAACAATATATGTTTTCCTATTTTCTTTCCTATTCTTTACAGGGTGGTATCTTTCCTTAAAGGCTGAAAACTGTTTTAGTAAAACCCCTCCTTAAAAAGGGTGATCCAACTTTAATGGGTAGATATAGACAAATCAGTTAACTATTTTCGTTTTCAAAAATTTTTGAATTAGTGATGACAGATCGACTAGTTGCATTTTTTAATAAACACAACTTATTTAGTGAGTGTCAGCATGGCTATTTGAGAGGTAGGTCTGTAGAAACTGCGGTGCATAACTTCGCTCACGAAATATTATCGAGTTTTGACAAAAACGATCACTGTATGGGTATATTTTTAGATCTATCGAAAGCCTATGATTGCCTTGATCATAAATTATTTTTAAATAAACTTGAGAAATATGAAGTGAGGGGAAATGCATTCCTCTGGATATACCTCTCAAATAGAAGCCAACGGGTCTTGATAGAAAGAGATGGTCAATCTGTCATTTCAAACCCTCAAACCATTGAAGTTGGAATACCTCAGGGCAGTGTGATTGGCCCTGTCATGTTTGTAATATATTTAACAGTTATTTACGTCTCAAGCTTTGTAAATAAATATTTACGGTCGAGCTGGAATCCAGTGAGCCTAGTAAGATTAATTGCAAAGCGTGACACGTATAAATTTTTATTTTCACCTTTAGATAACGATTTTCAAATTTAAAATTTTAATTAATATGCCAAATGTGACATTTCATTTCATAAATTGCTTTTCTACAAACCTGTAAAACTTTACAGGTCTTTGTTCCCATAATATGAAGGTGGAAATAAATGATTTGAATTGTACAGTGACAAAGCCGAGTCAAAGTATTATAAATTTTGCTGACAATACAAATTTACTTGTAAGGTAAAAAAATGCAGATATACTAATATCCGAAGTAGGACTCTTCGCTGGGGTTGTTGAGAGTTGGTTTGCCAAAAATGGACACCTTCCCAAGACTTCCATAGTAGAAGTTATATTAAAAAAACTGATATGATAAGTAACACTTTATCACCCTGTATTTTGGAAACTTAAGTAATTAGGAAAAATATTTATTTAGGTTTTCGACTTATTTTTACTTGCTCAATCTTTTCCTAAATGTATGCCAATAAGTTTAGGGACACCTTGTATAATTAAATTTTTTAAATTTGCAAAATACTTTGATAAAAAGATAAATTATTAATTTAAATCGTTGTTTTAGCAAAATGTATGTAATATAATATATTTGTTAATTGAGTTAATTAATTTTGCAAATTTTACAAAAAAAAATTATTGTATTAACAAGTATAGGTAATATAGCAACCTATACTATAGTACATACAGTGCTTGCAAACACAAGTCCGACCGGTTTGAGAAGAACGCGTGAAAATAACAAGGATAGAACGCCAAACAGAAGGCTCTTACAATACGCACGCCTGAGGCTCTGACCAATCAAATTCTGTTTGGCATTCTATCCTTATTCTTTTCACGCGGGTATTGAACAACGATCCTTCCCAAGGCGGTCGGACTTGGATTTGCAAGCACTGTATGTTATACACAGTAAAACAAAATTAGGTTTTCATTAATAGTAATGTAATAGTAAATGAATTTACTTATCATTTTAAGTAAGATATTTTATTTTTATGTTTTTTTCTAGAGATGGGAAAATTCCCATTTGACGAAAATTCCCGGAAACTTTCCATCGAAAATTCCCGAAATTTTCCGAAAGTTTCAAAAAAAAATTTTTTATTGCGAAAATATTTTTTTATGCCAGGGTTTTTTGTGATGATGCTGAATAATCCGGCTTCATTGAGGTTATGTAACATAACTTACATTATTTATACTTCTTCTGTCTTAAATTAACACACATTAAATTCTTATTCAAAGTTTCTTGGCCTTGTATCATGGCTAGGGTTGCCACCTTTTAAGCTTGGGGTTGGAGGACATGGAAAAAGCCCGCCGCGAAAATTTTTCCAAAAAAAGGGGGCGTTGCCAATATCTAAACTAGTTCAACAGAAATTACCAGGGACCGATTCCTTGCAATATTAACTTTATTAAATAGAACATTAAACTAATAACTACCTATTATACCTACCTAATATTAAATAAACACATTTTTATAACAAAAACAAAACAGCATATGCATATGCAATATTGCAATCAGATTAAAATAATAATATACCTAGTAATTAACCCAGACTGCAATGAAGGGTCGAAAATATTCCAGGAATATGCCCTATCATCTAGGAATAATCCGCTTCATTCTAGGAATCTTCATTCCAAGCACCATCTAAGAAACTTCCCAGTGAATATTCATAACGCATTTTAAAAAGAACTAGGCAACCAATTATACAGATACCGGCCAACATCATTTTTTATTGTTTGCAAGCCTGTTATTTTATTGGTTTACCGAGAAAAATATTTTTGTCAGAGCACAATAAAATACATAGAAAGGAGGACAAATTTCATTTAAAGGAGGACGAAGGACATGATCTTATCAAAAGAGGACTGTCCTCCACAAAGGAGGACGGGTGGCAACCCTAATCATGGCCTTTACGAAAATCAGCGGTTAAACAATTGACATTTAAATGAAAAAAACAAGGAAAGTTTCCAAAGAATGTTTCCAAGGAATGTTTCCGGTAGCTTAAAAGAAACTTTCAAAATGAAAATAAATTCCCAATTGGAAACTTTCCAAAACGGAAAGTTTCCTTAAAATGGAAACTTTCCGATTCCCATCTCTATTTTTTTCATATTGGTGAAAGATTTGCTTTAAATTTTTTTTTCTTTATTCATACAGCAGTTATTCACATGGCCCTTATGGCAATATTGTTTGCTAGAGTTTGTGTTATTATTTTTATTATGTATTTTATATTAAGAGAGATATATTTTGTTGATTTATTTTTATTGATGGTACCTGAATAAATTTGATGGTCAATCGTGTTGATGCCTATTTTAGGCACATATGACCTAAATTTGCCCTAAATGTAGGTTTTTATTGCCTAATTATGTGTCCTTATTTCCAATTTTTAACGGCCTAAAATCCGGTCTTTGATAATAAATATTGATATTTTTAAATATATTTATGTATTTTTACTTTTAGTAGGTATTTTTGATGAAAACATATTAATTTTTTATATATTTTTTAATTGTTTAAAGCTCACATTTGAACAACAATTTAAAAATGTTTTAAATGAAAATAACACCCAACCCATTTTTTCCAAGATGAGCTTAAGTTGGAAAAAATTAAATCTCGTCATTTTGAAAATTTTGTCAATTCAGGAGCATGATAAATCAATAAATTTCAGAACTTACGACAAAATAGGCATATCATAAAATCTTTTAATAAAAAAAAAATTAATAATACACCAGTTCCATGTGCTTATATCTTTTAGATGTTAATCAAAGTGCACAAAAACATAAACCAATTTACTAAACTGGGACAGCACCACAGATATAATAATAATAATATAGAAATCCCTCTACATACATAGCTTATCTATATTTGAAAAATGTCCAAAATTTATGGGTATTTCGTTTAAATACTATTTTTAAGACCTGACTGCAAACAAATTTAAAATTGAAGTAAAACTCTTATTTACATATTGTTTCATAGTATCAATATTGTCATATGACTTCCTGACATTTAACTTTAATAAGCACTAATTAATTATAATTATGTACCTAAAAGTATTGTGATCATTTTTGTATTTCAAATGTATTATATTATGTTAATAATATATCCTAAAAGGTATCCTATATCTTGTAAAGATCCAAAAGTATGAATAAATAATAATAATAATAATATTAGTAATAATAATGGTAGCAAGAACAAGTTAACATAATATGTTATAATATATTATATGTATATAATGATTAAAATTCAATAAACAAAGTGATTCATTATAATTGCAAAAAAAGTGGGTCCTTATTATTAGGATAATATTGTACAGTATTGTGCGAATTAATGTGAACATTAGGAATTTCTATATTATTTTAACTTCGAACACTACTGTGACAATTTTGACAGGTTTTCCTTGACATATCCCATACCCTATCATTCTGCATTAAGTAATTGCTAATGTCAGTCATTTTGCCGGTTATTGCGACTAATTTACACTAGGACAAAAAGGTAACCCTTCTAGACTGGAATGTAAACTCAATGGACATTAATCCTATTGCCAATTTGTGGGCTATATGCAAGGACCAGGTGCTGAAAATGAATTCTACAACAAAAATTAAGATCATTGAGGCTGTCATCCAGGTATGGTTTCGAGATTACAAAATAAAGGAAAATTGTAAAACATTGATTAATTCTGTCAAAACAAGCTTTAATAAACGCCAAAAGGGGGACAAATTCCCTAATAAATAAAACTTAAATATTTCTCAGTTTACATGTTTGAGGGTTTTTCAAGATAATATCCTTAAAGCCTTTTCATTTAATAATAAAAAAACTCGTAAAAAAACTTGTATAGGGTATTTTTTTTAAGTAAATTATTTAGTTATTTTTCAAACGTTTTTTAATAATAATAAAATAAACTTTATTGGATTAGGTACTCCAAAAGGCTAACGACCTTAGTCTTTCTGCCTATTTACAATATAACGTTTTGTATTATTAAATTAAAGGGCTTTAAAAATATTTTCTCGAAAAACCATCGAAAATTTAAATCGAGATATAAGTTAAAGTATTTTTATACAAAATGTCATAAAGATTAGTAAAGGCATTTTAAAGTTTAGAATTTTAGATTTTTTTTTTAGTTGACGCGCAGTGTAGTACTTACTGTTTGTATTTTTTTTTCAATAAATAATATTTTATGTAAATCTATTTGTGTTCACATTAATTCTGTAATTCTCACAGAATTAATGTGAATACTGTATGTATAAAAATTAGAAAAAACTAAGTAAAATCCACATAATATGGCAAATGATAAATGTCTGGGTGTTTACACTTATAAAAACCCACATTATTTTGATCCAGTTTAAGCTGGATATACATAAAATGTTAAGACTATATAAATTTACCGATCTCTGCAAATTTCCAAACAGTAAAGCCCAATATCTGGCTCTAAACTCGGACCTTTTATCTCTGCCTGTTGAAGCAGATCTTATACGGGCCCCTGTTCTCCCTCGTAAACTTGGAGTCTTAAAATTAGTTGGAGATTCCAAGTTTTTTGGAGGACATGGCGGTTTTCTTGAAACTTTACCTAAAAATACCCATTTATTACAAAATCCCTTTGTTTATAAACCAATCACAAACCTCCAAAAGTGTCATTGGCAGAAGAAATGTTGAACGCGAGCAAGTTACGCGCTTCCCGCCCTTGTTCTTGCACCAAAAAACGAACTTGCTCCATTTCTAAAGCTTTTAAGGTTTATTGCAAATGTAAAACGTTATTTTCATATCATTTGTTTGAATTTTTTGACGTTAGTGACAGTTCGATTCACAACAAATGCACATTTGACATTTAAGGGGTACGTTCCCACACAAATTTAATTATCTCAAAAATAAACGATAAAAAATAAAAATAATCGTCAATTGTAGATACGAATGGTAAAAACGAGCGAAGCATGCCTTTCTATCATGATAAATTTACGCAAAAATGCCATTATACCAAAAATTCACAGCGTCAAAATGAAATTAGCTAGCTGCTTTGGCAACGTTGCAATCATATTTCTTTATTCATGGCTGCCAACAAAGTTAAAAGCTAGAAGTTACCAATAGTTCTTTTAGTTTAGTGTTTTTTGTTTTGGTTTGTTCCACACGGAGATATTACCTCCATATCTCTGGTTCCACACAACCCGCTATTAAATTAAAATAGAAATGTAGGTGAGATTGGTTTTTAAATATGATTCCAATCATCATTTCATCACATATTTAAATATTTGATTATTGACACCTCATATATGTCTATAATTGCCAAATATTTAAAGAACTTTTTCTCTAAATATTAGTGCTTATGTTTTGTGTATCTAGTATACTGTTTTCTGGCTCACTTTGCAAGCGCTAAAGGCTGTACTTGCTATCATATTTTAAATGTCAAAGTTATTTAATTTAATTTAATTTAATTAGTAGTCCAAGAAACAAAGGTTGTAGGAGGAAAACTCGATGGTATACCATACCAACTATAGTCGGGTTTTATTTTTTTTATTAGGAGTCAGGGGTGCTGATAATGAATCAAGAATATTCCCCAAAAATTTCTTTCCGCGTCCCCTAATTTCATCCCCCGAAAGGGGAATTTTTTTGCTTTTTGGCTCATAACTCGCTAACCGTGCATTTTTTTAGAATTTGACCTCCAATACTATTGATTATGTATTAAATAAGGCACGCGTTAAACCCCATTGCGCGCCTATATGATGTGCCCTTTTGCTATGCGCAGTGTGCAAAGTTGAGCGTTGCATAACCGAATGGACGATTTTTTGAGGTACTAGACTTTTTTCAAAAGTTACTGCTTTTCAATGTACAGGGGGATCTTTTTTCAAAACTTTAATTTTTGTGGGGCACTTGCAATGAAAATAATTTAAAAAAAACTACGGATTCGTTACGGGGATAAGTGTACCTAAAAATCTAGAGAAGAACGAACTGGCTCATTAAAGCCGTTTGGGAAATAAAAAATGGGAACCCGTATTTTTTTTTCTTAAATTTGTGTTCACCCTTGGGAAATTTTTAAAAAATGGACAGAAACTTTGATTTTTCTCTTTTTACGAGTGACATTTTTTCTTGAAAATGAGATAAACTTGGCCAAAAATGTTTAAAATTTTTACTACATACAAAAAATATATATAAAAAATTAGGTGAATTCACTTAATTTTTTTTTAAATTGTTATTTCTAAAAAAGGCAAAAAAGGGTCAACATTTTGACATTGCCACATTTTTTTTATCTTCATATTTTTTTCGTTTGAAGTTGATAATATGAAGAACTTTTACCAAAAGTCCCGAGTTTGCTAAATTCGTCGTTTCACTCGTTAAAAGAGAAAAATCGAAGTTTCTGTACATTTTTTAAAAATTTCCTACGGGTGAACAAAACAAATTTTAGCAAAAAGAAAAAATACGGGTCTCATCGATTTCGGTAGAGAAAATTTGTTAAAAACTAACGACCTACCCCTTTTTGCCTGGTCGATTTGAGATGAAAAGGCCCTATATATGTCATTATAGTCATATAATATATATATATAATATAATATAATATAATATAATATAATATAATATAATATAATATAATATAATATAATATAATATAATATAATATAATATAATATAATATAATATTATATAATATAATATAATATAATATATATAATATATATGACATATATCGTCATTAGAATCACTTGCCCGCGGGCACAACGAATCACAGCATTGGTTTGACATGAGACCTTTGCATATATGTAAAGGTCTCATGTCAAACCATGATTTGATATTGCAATATATACTCTATAGATAAAATATGTAAAATACTCTTTTGAGAGGTTAAGGTAATGGATAAAACTTAAAAACTTCTACGGAAGGAAGGGTCCGGGAATCTAAAAACAGAATAACGGTTTTTGTATTGTTCATCTTTTACAGGAGAAAGGGAGAAAGTACTAAAGCACGGTATAGACTCTATATACCGTCACGGTATTACCGTGCTTTAGTCCTTTACTATAGAGTACTCCGTGACTCCATCACAGTATGTGATTCACATAATGTGAAGGCAATCTATAAATCAGGGTTAAAACTCATGAAGATTATAAAATTATATTTATTGCCAGATCTTTTATATTATATTATATTATATTATATTAAAGAATATTCTTTAAATTTTAATTTACATAATCAGTTTTTTTATTACAAACCAAAATCCAGATAAAATTACAAAAATTACAAACCCATGCATGCAAAAAAAATCTGTAAACAATCGATTGTTAGCAGCGTTGCCAATGATACGATAATTATCGTATTATACGATAATTTCGAGGTCTGATGCGATCGTAATTTCTCCTTATACGATATCCGATAATTATACGATAATTATTCAGGATTTTCCTCTATCGAAAACTGCGCAAAACAAGGCTACCTCTGTCCCGAGCAAAGGCCATTGTACAAAAAAAGAAATATAATGAATCAGAATGACAGTTGGCAGCATTCTATTTTCTATGGTAGAATAAAAAACAAAATCACACAAATGACAATCGACAGATAACAATGCAAAAATGACAGATAAATAAGTTCTATGAATAAGTTTTTTTGTGTATTTGTGACTTGTGTATGTAGAATGTAGATGGCAGGGGGGTATAAGGGGAATTTGACAACAGGCAACAGTAAAATAAATCTAGCATGCGTTGAAACCCAAGTTGTTTTTGACAAACCCCAGTTATTAACCACGTGATTCTTACTTTGTTGTGATTGGTCTTTTCCAACTTGTTCGTTGATGTTCGGTTTGAGAAATTACAAATGGCCGACAGCGTTGTTGAAGTGGTGTGTACTAAGTTTTATAATCCAAATTTTCTTTGTTTTAGGTAAGTAAACTTGTTAATTTCGGCTTTAACATTTTATTAGGTGTTTTTAGTCAAGTTTGAGTTAGTTGTAGCATCATTACCGCGTTTAAAATAAGAAAATACGTGTGATAAACCGTATCGGTTTTTTTCTCTATGTTTACCGAAAACACATGTAGTTAATAAAATTCTTTTTATGTAATGAAACCTATGGCAAAGAGTAAAGACTCTTTGCTTATGGGTTGTTTAACTAATGCAAGTTTTGATAGAATTTAAATAGTTTTAAAGCGTTTTGATTCAAAACTTTCAATCAAAACAGTTTTTAACGTTTTTTTTCTCGACACTAGTTGCTGTTATACAAAATGTTAAATATACCTATAATCTTTGTCAAAATGTATGTTTTTGTTAAAATTATTTGATGTAGCTACGCGAAAACTGGACCTGGGTCCAGGGCCCCACTACATTGGCATTTGGTGGAGCGGAGGTTATTGAACGAACAGCCCCCTCATCGGTGGATCGGACGTAAAGGGCCCAACAATTTGGCACTTCATGTATGGTCAACATGTTCAACCGATATCACAGTGTGCGACTTCTTTCTCTGGGGCTTTATAAAAGATAACGTTTATGAGCCCCAAGATTTGTAAAAGCTAAATACACGAATTGGAACTGCCGAGTATCTACAAGATGTTTGCAGCTGGAAGAGGTCATATTAAACACTTGTAAGCATACAGTTCAAAACTTGATTATATTACAAATGTTTTGTGCTTTCCATGTTTTTTTTACATAAATATAGCATTTTGAACTACAGGGTGATAATCTTTTACAGTATTTTTATAGTTATTTTATTTGAAGGGGTCAATGCAAGAAGTATCTAAGTCACATTTTCAATTAAATTGTTATTGTGGCTTCATCCAAGAGTTTTCACATAAGTTGAAAACCAGGCAAACTCCCATTGAAGTAAATGCAAACTAAGGCACTTGGGCACATATTTCTGCCACTTTGAAAATACCACCTGAAACCTTACATGAAACACTCTTAGATGAAGCCACAATGTAAATTTAATTGAAAATGCGACTTAGGCACTTAAGTGCAAGAATTCTTGCATTGACCCCTTCATTTGTTCTATCTGAAAGTCTGACATTTTTAATGTACATAAATAACTAGACAATTCATAAGCAAACCTTTTAAAGAATTATTTTTAAAGTTTTTAATTCAATTATTTTTTGCTACAATATAAATTGATTTTAATTTAATATAATTAATTTTAGCTTCTGCAATAATGGAAGAATTAGACAAGATTTATCCAGCATGAAGAAAAAGAATGAAAGCTTTACTCGTCAATCCCAAACAGAAATATTTGACCAAATTTTTTTAATAATAGGTAGATATATTTTTTTTAATTTAGAATACATTTTTAGTTACAATTGGTGGTGTGTGAATATTTTTACCAAATAAATTTAGTAGTAATATTTAATTCAAACTTAAAATTAAATATTTAAACTACATAAATATTTTGAATTATTTGAATAGTTCAATAATTACAATCATAATCTATTCAAATAAGTTAATTAAGGGTTAATGACAAGTAAATAAAATTCTTTTTATTTCAAAATAAATTTTAAATTACAATTCCAATGTTCAATTTCTTCAATTACTATTGGAAAATTTTAATTTTCTAATTGAACCATTTAAAAATTTGAAACATTCAAACTATTTAAATAATTCTTGAATTCAATATTCACACATCCATAGTTAATCCAAATATAAAAAAAGTAAAAGAAAGTACACTTTTAGTATTTACTCCAAATATAATTAAATTGTTTATTGTTAAAACAAGCAATCTGACATTTTTATATTACATACACTTCTGCTTTAAATTATTATTTTGAGGCAGAAATATTTTATTTAGGGTTTTTATTAGGATATTAAAAAAGGATATTTTCATGTTAAAACAGCACAAGTTAACCATTATTAGTTTTTATAAGATTTTTAAATTAAAAAATAAACAAAATCATACTTAGTTAGTTACTTAGCTTATTTTTACAATAAACCATTCAATTATTTTTATGCTGGTAAAACAATTACCTTTAGCATAAATAAGTAGCATAAATATTGATACATTATTTTTATTTTATTTTAAAAATTATTGGGTAATATCAATTGTTTTACAATTTAAATTGATTTTAAAATTGGTATTGATTTCAGGTTTGGGTTTGTGTTAATGGAAGAAGCAGACAGGACTTGAATTTATCAAACTTCTTTGCAAAAGAACATAGAAAATATTAATTGCAGTTGAATATTCTTCATTGAATTAAGAAAAAGACGCAGGTTCAATCCATGAATCATGAACAAGAAAAAAGACAATTAATACTTAATATTGACCAGAAAGTTAAATCATACATAAAGTTTTTAATTTTGCCAAATACATAATAACAATATTTTTAACATTGAGATTTAAGTGGTTCTATTGATTATTAATTTTAATTAAACCAATTTTACTAAAAATTAAATATTCCAAAGAATGTAATTTAATTTTTGGATAAGTAGGAATTCCTTTTTGCCAAAAATTCTATATTTTACAAAACTACAGTATTGTGCTTATTTTAAAAACAAATTATAATCATAATTCCTAAAAATTATAAGAGTATGGTTTGTTATTACTTATTAGTCTAATTATGGCATTAAACATTTTAGGCATAAGCCTTTTGGTTTATTCCAATAAAGAAATTTGGAAATACCTATAGGTATACAATAAGTCAGTATGTATTACAAAATTATTTATTTTTATGAATTACATATTCAAAGTTGAAATAATTTTAATTATATAATATACTCAAACTGTTTTAAAAGGTTGTTTTCTAATAAGGACCAATAAGTATTGAACTATTGTTTATCAAGAATTTATCAAATATTTTGATGGTTTGTAATATGTTTTAGAGTTAATTTGTTTATAAACCTTTGCATTTTTATTAAGAAATCTTAAAAAACCTATAAAAATTGTTATTATGTGACACAAAATTAAAATTTCTGAACATTATCGCTGTAATCAAGCGATAATTGTCTTGTAGGCATATATAAGAGGGTAATTATCAATTTAATGTCATACTTTTTGATAAATTATACCTAAATAATTATAAATTATTATACATGTTTGATAAACCTTTTTTTAAATATCACTAAAAGTTATAGAATAATTAACTTTGAATTTCTCCTCATTTAAATATTACCTATTTGTTAGTTATACTTTAATTTAAAATTAAATTAAGTGTATATTTTGTTAAATATATTTATTAAAAAAAACAAAAATGTGTGTTTTTTCCACTTAATTAGTGGAAAATAACCGAAAATTGTCGAAATTTTATATTTTTTGATTTTTAATGGACAATATTACGTATATAATCCTTTTAAAATCAAAAAAAATATAAAATTTAAACAATTTTCGGTTATATTTCCTTGTTTTAAATAAAAATTCAAATATCCAATCATTCAAATTTCCCGCCGAAAAAAACAACTCGGTTTTCCAAGGCTGCTAGATTTAAAAATCAACCAATGCTTGTTGCCACTTTTGACTACAGCGCTTTTAATTCTCTTATGTTCTGTGGTAGATGGTTTGTAGTCTTTGTATTTTGTGTGTTTGTTTAACACCTTTAAAGGTAAATTTACACACCTTACAGAAGTCGTGATGGTTTGTACCTCCGTAACCTCGGTCCTCCGTAGTCTTTATTAAACCGTCTAAGCACATAACACATCATTTAAGTAATAATGTCAGAATAACCTCAAATTTTGGCCCGTATATTGTTAGTATCATGGGCCCGTAGTGATTAAAAAAATGACCATTAGTGGATTTTATTAAAATAAAAGCTAGTTTTAAGTTTTTGGCTGATACGATCGTGCATACGATAATTTTTCAAGTAGAATACGATCCGATACGATAATTTCACGAACTTGATACGATTCTTTCTCCACGACGGGTTGGCAACGCTGATTGTTAGTAACTTTTATCAATTTACTGGATGTTGGCAAGTCTGAAACATGGTCGCAACGTTGACTTATTTTTTGATGGAAAGGGATTTTCTGCAAAAGTTTTTCAACGACAAGGTCATGGTCAAGGCATAAATGCATAGAATGCACAGAACATAAACTATAAAAGGTTTTGTGATGCACTCTTGATTTTTTAAATACATTTTTCTTAGATAAACAAATATATCATCAATTGAATTGAAAAATAAATAGGCACGAGTTAATTAAATCTACCAATTTAAAATCTAATAAAAAGTTATGGTCAAAAATTAATTAGTAAATTTTGTACATTGGACTTTTTACCTATACACATCTATGCCTTAAGGCATTAAGGCAATTCTGGGTTGCCATCATCTATGGATGCAGTGTTAAGTTTAAGTTTTGATAATTACATAAGTGGGGCAGAAACTTCTGATTTTCACGGAATGCTCTTCAATATTATATTTGTTTTGATAATGATGTTAACTTGTTATTCATACGATTACAATATACTTGAACCTTTATTTTTGTGATTAAACACAAATTTGTAAATAATAATAAATATTTTATCGTGAAAGTGCACATTCATTATTCGTAGCAACATTTATTAAAATGAAAAGGTAAGTAAGGTTATTTTTTGTTTTTACATTTTAAAATAGTAATTTTACCTTTTTATAATAATGTAAGTAAAGTGCTTATAACTTACAATTAGTTTAAATGATTTATGATAAATAGGTAGGTATACTGTTATTTCTTTGTGAAAAAATGTTTACCCAAATCATTTGGTCAAGTGTAATCTTAGTTGCCTAAAATCCTCATATTTTTAACAATTGGAAATTTAATTTTTTAACAATTTATGTTAAAATAAAAAACTTGTTGCGCCTTAACCACCCTGCAGGGTGTTCCAAAAAAGAATATTTATTAATAGGTAGGTACTTGGTAACATGGTACAAGTTTCCTTGTACCATGCTTAGTAAGTAGGTACTACTTACCCAAAAGGCACCTAAAGATTAAAAATAAATATCTATAGATATTTATTTTTAATCTTTAGGTGCCTTTTGATGATGTTTCAAAAATAAACAGTGGCGGTTCGTAGGTTCTGGAAGAGGGTGGGCACAAAAAACTTACCTACTAATTTTTGTCCATTCTCCAATTTTTCATGCGAGAAACTGAATTTTCGTGTTTCTTAGCCCTCTCTGCGATGTGTTTTAAACCATCTAACCCATGTTTATTCCACGCACGTAGGTAATTTTATTTTTTGAAAATTAAGCACATAAAACAAAAAAGCTTATTGGTTACTTAACATCCGCATATCCACCCGTATTTTTCATAGATATTTCTGTTGAATACTCTATTGAAGGCCTTTACCTGTGGAAGTGTATACAAAGATCGGGAATATGTCTTCCTTTTTTCTTAATTAAAAGTTTATCTTAAAGTGACATCGGGTTTTTTTAAAGATTTTGCACACAACTTACTTCCGCTGCAGCGGTGCCATTATTGTTAATAAAAAATAAAGTTTATTTAAAAAACAAAACACGTAATTCACTTAAAACTTAAAAAACACAACGGTGCGCGGGGACAGAAAAGTTAGAAATCAAACAAACTGACACAGATAACAGCTGAGCGGTTGAAGAGACACTGCGTTCGGTGCCCGAAATTGACGATATATTCGCGAACTGAGAGAATAACCGAAAATCACCGAATCATACTCGAAATAGGTATATTTCAAACTGTGCCCCGACGGCGCGCGCTGAAGCGTTTCGATCGGACGGAAACCTTAAGGTTTGAGACCATCCTTAAATAGTAATTACAATGGTGTTACCTATAACTAAAATAATGCACAATGCAACAAATAACTTTTATTACTTTTTATCTGGTTGGTTGGGTGGGCCCGTGCCCTTGTGCCCTTTAGAACCAGCCGCCACTGAAAATAAAAAGTTCAAATTCGGTTTTATATTTTTTTTAAGCTACCCCAAATTTTTATCATTTTTAGGCTTTATAAATATACCAATAATACATCTCGTTTAAACGAAATTCAAAAAGACTTTTATGAAAAGAATGGATATTTAATAATTAAAAATAACTTGGATTATAAATTATTGAAGGAAGTTAGGTAAAAATTAGATTTTAACATAAATTTTTTATAACTGTACTAATTAAAAATTTAATTTAAGAGAAAGATTTTTGGACATTTGCAACAAAAGAGTAGACCCAGGCGCTATGACAGTGATGAAAGACCCTTCTCTCAAGAATAAAGGCGTCCAAGGAGAATATTTAATTAATAAAGTAGCTACAAAGCCTTTGTACTAGTTGTAATTTTACCTAAGTAAATTAAACGAAAACAATTTCAGATTCAAGATTTCTTGTATGACGATATTTTATGGAAATACTGCAGTGATCCAGCTGTAACAGACATTGTTGAGGGCATAATTGGACCAAATATTACAGCGGTACATTCGATGTTCATAAATAAGCCTCCTGACGCAGATCCCGGAGCTTCATTACACCCTCTTCATCAAGTTTGTATTGATATAATTATGTATTTTAATTAGTATGTGTTAATGGATTGAGCAATATAACTATTAAATTAGGTATAACTAATTGAATTTTGCATGACTATGGGGTGATTCCATTTAATAGCCACCAATGAGTGCACCTCGTATACTCTAATTTTATTTCTTTTTTAACTGTAAATAGACAATGACCCAAGAGGTCAAATAAACTTACCTTTTCTTTTTTCCCCCTCCACCTATTTATACAGGGCTATGCAAAAGTTACTGTGCAGACCTAACTTTAAAAAATTGTACTTCTTTTGCTAATAAAGCTATCGACATTAAACAAACTATTAATTGTTAAGAAAATATTTCTCTTTTAAACCATATAGGACACATTTAGTTATTGATGAATTAAATGGTCTTTGGGATTTTTTTTTAAATGCAATTTTTTGGCAAAATTGTCTAATTTTATAAATTCATATATTCTTAGAACGACTTGCCAGCAAAATTTTTTTAATGGAGTTTGTTACCAAAGATCTTACTCTATATAAAAGCAATGAAAACATTTTCAAATGATATTGGCTTAGAGTTCAAAAAAATATATTTAAAATTCATGTTTTCGAAAAATCACTATTTTTAGCCTTTTCATAGTTTAAAAAGGCTATGTTTGAGTGAGTCGATTTAAACCAATTTATCCTTATCATCACATGCACTTATTAGCCTCCAATAACCATGAATAAAATTATTGTGTATTTTGTTTTTAGCTGGGCTGTGGCTGTATATATCCACCTGTGACTTAATCCATATACCTATTAACCATATATTTTAAAAAAGCGTATTACATCTTTAAAACAACTCGGCAGCCTTGAATTGACTTGCAATTCAGTCTGTATAAAAATATAAAATATAAAAACCACATACAGTGGAGTCAAGAATTAACTACCCATTTATTTATTTTTTAAATTAAGAAAAAATTTACAAAAAATTAATTAAATGACTAAAAGACTTTTCATAAACTTTATATTTAGACAAAATAAAACAGGTGTTACCTAAATCCTAAATTTAAATTAAACTTAACTGCATATACCTTATTAAAATAAAAAAATCATATTCCTAACTTTTACAATCACCTATAAAAACCTATTTACTAATTTTTACCTCTAAAAAGTTATATGAATCGGAAAATTTTCTTATCTGTATAATGTTACCATCAAAAGGAATAATTGAATGAAACATTCTTGTATTTTTTATGGTTAATGCGGATTGAAACCTATTTTCAAAAAATGGTCTTTCCAACTCGATTTCTTCTTCGGTGACTAGAGCAAATTTAACACCTTTAATTTTTTCGACGCAAAATGTATACATATCATTGTTTAAAATATTATTCTGTTGCAGAGCTGCAACAAGTTAGTTTTAAAAAGACTTAAATCTTAAGTCTTAAGTCAATTCTAAAATCAAAATGATTTAAATCTTAAGTCAATTCTAAGATAAAGTTCAAATGATTTAAGTATTAAGTCTTTGAATTAAATCATTTTCTTTCAAGTCAAGTCATTTTCGCAAATTCTTAAATTAATATAAAGTGATTTAAGTCATCTTATGACTTAATTCCTTTAGTAAGTCGTTTTTATGACTTAAGTCTATATTTTTTATTTAAATCGTGATCTAAGAGTTAAGTCAATAAAATGACTTGAATCAAAAATTGTGATTTAAATCAAAATAATTACAATACAACAATTTTTTAAAAGTTAATAATAATTTTATGGTATTAATGATACTGATATTATTAATCTATTGTAGATACAGATGATAATAAACCACCATGTTAAGAATTTAAAACGATTTATTTTCAGAACACTTACAAACAAAATAAAAACTTAAAACACATTTTTTGAGTATATATTAGACAATAAAAATAAAAACTTAAACCACCTTTTTTAGTAGAGTAGACATACAGGGAGGCTACTTTTTTATATACATAAATGGGTAACTTCTAAACGGTAATAGATTCAAACTCTGTTAAAATAGATAAAAGTTGAAGCATTTTTCTTAAAATCGCTGTATTTCAAATACTGATAACTTGTTGCTTTGTTAACTTTTGTTAGCTGGTTCAACATCCAACTAGAAAAAAAAATTCCTCCCTTAAGGAAGTAATGATGGGAAGTTCCAAACTCTCGATTCACGACCGCTCAGATTGTTTTCACTTTGCACTAATAATCACAAATTAGACATAACTACGCACGAACATGACGAATGTTGGCAAACAAAATAACAAAATTATAAATCCCCACTTTTTTTAATTCATTTTAGACAGGACATTTTTTAATGTAGCCGTCAAACGGTTCCAAAAAGCTAACTTTACGCGGCGGTTTTTTTATCCTCTAGCGGTAAAAATTGTAGGTAGGAAATTAAAGGAGTTTTTGATCTGCTGCCGCGTGAACCCCTGGCAGTTCAAAGAAAATGCCGCTGTTAAAAATTTATAAAAAATATATGAAAAATCTGACTTAAATATTTTCTAAAAAGACTTAAATCTTTTTCAAAAAGACTTAAATCTTTTTTTGACTTAAATCGTTTTTATCTGACTTAAATCGTATGTACTGATTTATAAATGACTTAAGTTTTTTCTATTTTGAAAAAAATATTTAAGTCACAAATCATTTTGAAAATTACTTAAATTTTAAGTCTTAAGTCAGTTTTAGAGAAATGACTTATTACCAAATGACTTAAGTCATTAAAACGATTTAAGTTTTCTGAGAGCTTGCAGCTCTGTTCTGTTGTAAGCTTGCTTTTCTAAGTAAGCGTTTGACAGTTCCCCCAATTCCATCACATGCACTTTTTCCATGTGATGTGGCATAAAAATTCAGCATCGATATTATAATCTTTTTTATGATTATATAAGTTTATAAAATTTTTCTTATTTTTGTATTGACCACCACACCCATCTGTCATATATATAAACTTAAATAACATAGGATATCTTTCTTTAACAATGTTGACAAAACGCTTTTGAAATACGGCAAATTCTAAAGTGCTATGTGTTTTGGTATCACTTAAAATACAAAATGAGTGACATTGCAGCATACCTGAAATATCCCGAAAATATATGACAAATGGGTGTAACGTAGCTGATGATGAATTCCAGTGGAAACTCTGAACTTCATCCTGAACCACAAACGCATAATTTTCCGCAAAATCGCACATCACGATACATTCATATTCTGCTAAATTTTCTTTTCTTACTCGCAAAAAGTTACTTTGTTTTTTTGAGATGTAGTGATGGAGTTTCGTTTTCAGAACCTGGTCTTTAAAGTTGTCTATGAAATCTTCGTAGCTTTCCCGTAGTGTTTTCATTTGACATCTGAAATAAAATTCAAATTAAAACATTTTTTAGTTTAGTTTTTTTTATTAATAAACATACCTATCAGTAGAAACCCATTGACTGTACTGTACAAATTCATCTGATAGGTGTTGTGACTTATGAATTGTAGACAAAAAATCATTAATTCCTTTTTTGTTGGGACACTGTTTGCATTCGGATATCATACATTGCTCACTATTTATATCACACACTGCTGCTTTTATGTAATCTGCGTAATTTATTGCTCTTGAAATTACGTTGGAGGCTAACTTTAGGTTTTGATGATAGATACAAACACAAACAGTGTGTGTACCCGAAGCACCTGCCAAAATGCACCACTTGGGTCTCATCTCTGCAAACTTTGAAAATCCTATTTTTGCAGATGGGTTCCTTTCTTTGAAAAGGGTATATATTTCTTTTAAATTGAAAAGAAGTAATCTTTTTTGCATGTGAACCCTATTTCCAGTTTCATCCTTCACCGAAACATATTCTTTAGCCCCTGGACAAGGTCGGCTTATATCGTTTTCTAAATAAACCTGAAGAACTTTTTCAGAAATTTCTTCAGAAAGTGAAAGCCTTCCTTTTCTTATTTCATTTTCGGCGTAGGGTAATATTCCATGATTTTTCTTTGCATGTCTTGCTGTTTTTACAGTACTGACAGAAATATTAAATTCTTTGGCTGTCGTTTCACGGGACCAAGACACTGGTGCTAAACTTAGAAGATTAACTTTATTTTTGTAATCAACCGTAGAAATTTTCTCTTTGATTTCAGCAATCAAGTTAAGGTAATCTTGGTCTAAATTTTCCAAATTTTCTTTTTCAAGGCTATCATTTAAATTAAATGCTTTGATACATACCTTCTCAAAAGCTTTTGAGACTTCCAGAACCTTCTGTTTAATCCAGCTTTTTATTGTTTCATGCTTCATTTTCTTTGGCAAACCTTCCAATTTCAGAGAAAAGCATACATCCTCTATATTTTTTTTAAGTTTGTGTATGGGAATAAAAGTATTATCATTTAATTCCTCGTAATCCTTATCTATAAATTCATCTTCTATAATGTCGACATCCATATCAATTACTTCCTTATTTTCATTTAATTTTTTAAAACAGTTTATACACATCGTTTTTCCCGGAACTAATTTTAGGTGTGAATAAGTTTTGCAAGTATCTAAATCCAAAACTCTCAAAGACATTTTTATTAACGACTTATGGCTTTTAAATAAATAAATAAATATAAATATCTTTATTGACGGATTTACCATTAGATATAAACAAAAGTAATCATTACAATTTTACATTAAAGACCTTTTGAAGGACTGGAGAGTATTGCCAAAGAAATCTACATTTAAAGAATTTGCATTTCTGCACATCCTATGTAATGGTGCATAATAACCATAGTTTGTATTATGGTGACATATATAAAAAAGATTTTTATTTCTTAGTCTTAACTGAGGCACTTGAAAATTAATTCTGCCAAGCAATTCAGGGCTATCTATAATCCCATTTAAAAGTTTAAATAGGAAATGCATATCAAATTTATCCCTTCTTTTGCTTAGGGTATCAACATTAATCAAGTGTCTCAATTGTACATAATCATAGTCATCAATAATTAAATTTAATTTAAATGCACAAAATCTTAAAAATTTATTTTGTACTCTTTCTATTTGCATACAATAAGTTAAGTAGTGAGGAGACCATACTACACAACCATATTCCAAAATACTTCGAACAAATGAAAAATACACATTTTTTATACACATCACATCATTAAAATCTTTTAAGTTCCGTTTAACAAAACCTAACATTTTTAAAGCTCTATTACTTATAATATTTATATGTTCGTTAAACGTAACCTTAGTATCAAAATAAACACCCAGATCCTTAATTACATTTACATTTTCTAAAATAACATCATTAATACTATAAGAAAAATTTATTTTATTTTTTATCCTAAAAAAATTTATTACTTTGCATTTGCTAATATTTAAAGACATACAATTATCACTGCACCAAGATTCTAAATTCTTAATATCCGCTTGAATTTTTTTACAGTCATCTAAACTGGACACTACACTATACAATTTAAGGTCATCTGCAAACAATACACTGTTCAAAATTTTAGCTAATTTTTACCTAAAATATTAGACTATATAGGACCATTGATTTTTTAAGGCAAACTGCCTGAAATGAATTCAGAGGAATATTCCCCTTTTAAATTAGTGAATTCTTTAACTGATATTTTTAAAGAAAATGATACAATTAATTAAGCAAAATTACTTAGGTTTCAAAGATGATACACCTTAGATCGTAAGGGATATTGCCTGAGAATAAAAGAATAAATTTCCTGTTTCTAAGGCAATTTGCTTAAATTTTTATGTGGATTATATATATTTTTAGTGAAAATCCTCCTATTTTTCACGGTAAATTTATCTAATTTTTTTAGATATACCCTTTTTTCGGGTAATTTTCTACCAATTTTTTAGTGAAATTCTACTAACTTTCTAGTAAAATTTAACTTATTTTCTAGTGAAATTCTACTATTTCATTAAATAAAAATATAAAAGGAACAAGAATTGGCGGTGGGGGCATTTAGGAGAGAAGATATTTATAATGTCATTTTTATTCTCACGCATTGCTTTGGTCATATACTATTTTGGAAATATACTATTGTAAATGTAAAATATTATTGTAAAATAACCTAGTATTATTTATCCCTTTATCGAGCAATGTAAATGAGAAAAGAATGACATTATAAATCCCCCTTTTAAGTGCTGATGGGTAAAATAAAAAATACATTTATTTTAGTTAAATTGAAAATGTATATTAATAAATATGTATAAATAAAAAAAATAAAAGTAACGAAAACGACAATAAAACTTATAGGTATACCTACTTTATAAGTTTAATAAAGTTTCTTTTGGCATAGGAATTTTCTTCCAAGTTCGGACTCCTTTATCTTTATGTCCTAGGCGAATTAACAACGGCGGTTCCGGTACTACAGGTTGGGATTATTTAAAAATAAATTGGGGTCAATGGAAAATTCCATTTAGTTTGGATTACTTAGCTATAGCACTTCAAAATGTTCACTTATAACACAATATTTGTTAACTGTTGTTATATCAATAGCACACAACGCGGTCTTTACGTTTTCGTTGATTTTGGCATTCTGGTGGACAATATAGTCGCGAATATATATCATAAAACGTCGGTATAAGCGATCGTAGCCGATTGCAAGTAAGTCACTAATATTTAAAGGAATTTACCTAAATTAGTTCAATAATTTGCCATAATAATTTAGAAGAATTACCTAAATTAAAAGCAAAATTATCGTACCTAAAATTCATTGAGATTTTGACTAAATATTTAGGTAATCTGCCTATCTTTTTAAATTTGAGAAGTTTATTAAGTAAAGTATGAATATTTATCTAGAAGTTAGTGAATACACCATAGAACAAAGGCATTAGTTTCTGCCTAATAAACGAGAAGGTAAATTGCTTTACTCGTTTAAGCATATTACCTTATTTTTTCTTAACTAATTCTGATTAGGTATTTCAAAAGGCTTGATTTTGAACAGTGTAATACCTTACAAAATTTTATCCTACTACAAATATCGTTTATAAAACAGTTAAAAAGAAGTGGGGACAAATGACCACCTTGTGGTACACCTGATGATACAGCTATTTTAACTGACCGAAACCGATTATTAATTAAAACAGTTTGAGTTCTACCATTTAAAAAACTTGTTAACCATTTATGCATTTCTCCAAAAATTCCCATGAATTTTAAATGGATCGCAGCAGACTTCACCAAAAACTTTGGTATAATAATGAAGATACTTTAATTTGTGATACGTACAAATATCGGTTACAGATGCATCCACTCGCCATTCTATTAAATCCTTTTCCTTCTTTGTACAAGATTCAATCTTGGAAAATCGAGAATAATATTTTTTATGGCATTTTTCATTAATTAATCCTCCAACGGAACAATCCATTTTTTGACACTTCAAACTATTTGACACAACAATTTCTGTCATTTAAAAGTTTTTAAATGACAGAAATTGGTGTGTAACCTGCAAGTTTTTAGAAAATTATGCACAATTTAATAATTTAATATTTTAGTTTTTGTTTATTTAAAAAAGTTTTTTTCAAAAGGAATTTATGTATTAGTGGTAAAAAATTAGTATGTTTACAGTAATAAGGTTAGTTTTTATGAATATGTAAAAATTTCAATATTTTAAAAATATTTTAATTATTAAAACAAAATCTTAAAAATTGGCTCTTGCCAATTAGAACTCAATTCAAGTCTTGCTACCGAGTTTTTTTTATAAAATATATAGTTGATATAATATTACGGATTTATATTATTATAATCCACATTATAATAATAAAATTAATAATATTATAATCCATATTATGGATTTAGTCAGGTGGGCATATTGTGTATTTTGCTTTTAGCTGGGCTGTAGGTAATACAGCCACAGCCCAGCTAAAAACAAAATACACAATAATTTTATTCATGGTTATTGGAGGCTAATAAGTGCATGTGATGATAAGCATAAATTGGTTTAAATCGACTCACTCAAACATAGCCTTTTTAAACTATGAAAAGGCTAAAAATAGTGATTTTTCGAAAACATGAATTTTAAATATATTTTTTTGAACTCTAAGCCAATATCATTTGAAAATGTTTTCATTGCTTTTATATAGAGTAAGATCTTTGGTAACAAACTCCATTAAAAAAATTTTGCTGGCAAGTCGTTCTAAGAATATATGAATTTATAAAATTAGACAATTTTGCCAAAAAATTGCATTTAAAAAAAAATCCCAAAGACCATTTAATTCATCAATAACTAAATGTGTCCTATATGGTTTAAAAGAGAAATATTTTCTTAACAATTTACAGTTTGTTTAATGTCGATAGCTTTATTAGCAAAAGAAGTACAATTTTTTAAAGTTAGGTCTGCACAGTAACTTTTGCATAGCCCTGTATAAATAGGTGGAGGGGGGAGAAAAGAAAAGGTGAGTTTTTTTGACCTCTTGGGTCATTGTCTATTTACAGTTAAAAAAGAAATAAAATTAGAGTATACGAGGTGCACTCATTGGTGGCTATTAAATGGAATCACCCTATGGGAGAATATTATTAGTCCTATAAGGATTTATAAAATTTTATTTTAATTGTGTAATTAAGTATGTGCCAATAACCATTTTTGTTTTTTTATAAATTTAACCTGCGGCATTGGCCATTTCCGTACATAAAATATCTTTTAAATTATTACCATTGCATATGCAGGAATATAATTCCCCTACTAGTATTCATGAAATTTTTTGTTTAATTGTGTAATTATAATAATAATTATGTGCCAATAAACATTTTTGCTTTTTTATAAATTTATCCCGCCGCATTCGCCATTTTCGTACATAAAATATCTCTCAAATTATTACTATTGCATCCCGTAGTAGGTATGCAGAAATATAATTCTCCTATTAGTATTCATTAAATAATTTGTTTAATTGTGTAAATAATTATGTGCCAATAACCATTTTTGCTTTTTTAGAAATTTATCCAGCGCCATTCGCCATTTCCGTACATAAAATACCTCTTAAATTATTACTATTGCATCACGTAGGAATATAGGAATATAATTTTCTAATCTATTAATTTAATTTTTAGATTAATTGTTTAAATAATTATTTGCCAATAACCATTTTTGCTTTTTTATAAATTTATCCGTACATAAAATACCCTTTTAATTATTATAGAAATACACTCACAGGCAAAATAATCGATCCACACAAATTTTCGATGAATTTCAATCGCAAATAACTTTTTTATTTGATTTCGGATTTAAACAAATATTAAAGAATATTGTAGATTAATGGAGAATCGCTCACATTTTAAAAATTACTAAAAAATACACGTACGTTTATAATATACAGGTTTAAACAAAAATATGTTTTTTACCATAAGTTTAAGACACTCTGTAGAGTGGCAAATCCGTATATTGTTCTAAATTAAGTTTTAATTATCAAGTAACATCTATTTTTAACAGTTTTGTTTTTGGTTTACCTTGATATATTTATTTTTGTGGAAAATATGGATTTTTTTAAAAAAGCATTGCAATTTCCAATATTTTTCCTGTATGAAGAACCAAGATTGCTATGGTCCATCCATAGCCTGTGCATAGGCTATGGATGGACCATAGCAATCTTGGTTCTTCATACAGGAGGAGGATGGATCACAATGACAGTTTTGTTGAATTATCCCATAATTGGACATGTCATATACAGCTTTCAAAAGGTATCAAATTGTTTTTTGTAAATTAATGTGTTAATTTTGAGGTGTCTTCTTAATTTTAAAAATGTCTCCGACTGATGTTGCCCTTTCTACTTTACTTCTTGTGACGTTTAAAACACTTGCCACGTAATACTGTGACCGTCCATCCTGGATTAAATTAATGGCTCTGGCAACATCAGTCGGAGACATCCATTTTTTAAAGTAAGAAGACACCTCAAAATTTAAACATTAATTTGCAAAAAACAATTTGATAGCATTTAAAAGCCGTGTAGGACATGTCCAAGTATGGGATGATTCAACAAAACTGTCACTGTCATTCTCCATAGCCTATGGATGGACCATAGCAATCTTAGTTCTTCATACAGAAAAATATTGGAAATTGCAATGTTTTTTTAAAAAATTCATATTTTCTACTTAATTTAGAACAATATACGGTTTTGCCACTCTACAGAGTGTCTTAAACTTGGTGGTAAAAAACATCTTTTTGTTTAAACCTGTATATTATAAACGTACGTCTATTTTTTAGTAATTTTTAAAAATATGAGCGATTTTCCACTAATTTATCTACAATATTCTTTAATATTCGTTTAAATCCGACATAAAATAAAAAAGTTATTCGCGAATGAAATTCATCGAAAATTTGTGTGGATCGATTATTTTGCCTGTGAGTGTATAATTAGCATATTAGTATTTATATTCATAATATATTCATATTATATTCATTTTTAGAATCAAGTTATTTAGTAAGTATACATTTATGATTACACAATTTTGTATAAAATTAGTAAAAAAAAATTACCCAAAAGAATATAATTGACTTACTAAACTGAGAAAATATAACAGTAACCAATGATGCGCACAACTTTAATTTACCCAATATACAATGTTAATGTCAATATTAATGTATTATTTGTAATCATACAATTTTTATTAAAACTTCACGGGTTACTTTGACAACAGTAAGTTATTTTTGTCACATCAATGAGTAGTGCCAGGAACTATAGTAAGCAATATTCTGCACATTAAATATTATTTACAATAGTTTATTGAGTGAATTACTGTTGCGCATCAACAGTTACGGTTTTATTTTCTCCGTATTAAATAATACATAATTTTAGAAATCATATCATTCCTCCACACAGTAAAAAAATATTTATTAATTTTAACCAAATAATAACCAGATTTTAAGTTAATCCAGGTCCACATAACTTTTTGTTAAGTTTACAACCAACTGTTAACTAATTAAATAAGTTCTTTTTAATTATTACAGACATTTTGTAGATTTAATTACAAAATTCCATGTTTTTTTTTTCTTGTTTTTTTTACAAACTTTTAAGTAGACCCAGTATCAAAAGTATTTGTTGTAAATTGGGAACTTTAAAAAAGAGAATTTGTTATAAGAAATGATGCTTTATTAAACAATTTTCTAAATAAAACAAAATTAAAACATACCTACATAAATGAACACAAAAATAACATACACAAAATTAAATAACACACCATTCTGAAATCATCAGATTATATAGAAATTTGGTACAATATAACTATCAGTACTACTAAAACACTTACTGATGTACTTTAACCCACTTTACTGTATCGTCTAATTTTAATTTGAATAATAATGGCATTATAAAGACTCCTGTCACCGTTAAATATTATAAACACCCGTTGACGCTGTCACAACTTGTTGATAAGTGTGTTGTGCTGGGAAATGTTTTGATTGGCTGCCTGAAATCACAAGTACTTTTTCAAAGAAATAATTTGCATAAACAAAGAAATCTGTAACCTTTGAAATTAACAAAATGCTTACAAAATTGCATATTACCTTTAAAAAACTTTCGGTAAACTATTTTCCTTTGTTAAAATAATTACAAACCCAAGTTTTATACAAAAAATTTTGTAAAAATTTTACAAAATAAAATTAACAAACTACAAGCTCATGTTAACAAATCTTATTTTTATAACAGTGTAAGAGCAAAATTTATGTAAAAAAATATAAATTCTATATAATTTAAAAATACCACCTGCTAAATACCACGAACTTCTTGGCACGAAGTATGTAGAAATACCTAAACTTGCACTTTTAATTTTGGCGGATGTGCCGGGATACATAATTTAAGATCTTTTGGTAAGAAAATTTACTTAATTTAGATTATTTAGGTAAATAAATATTATAAAAATAAATTATACTTAAATAAGGAAGTATTTAAAACGGATTCAATAAAAACAATTAATTAAATAGGATCTCCACTACTTCCCATTCCGACCGGCCGATAACATAGTTGCATCATGGACGGCCGTGGAAAGAGTCGATGAAAACAACGGTTGTTTATACGTCGTTCCAGGCTCTCATGCCGCCGGAAACCTCTACGAGCACGGCTATCCAGAAGTACAAACAACTTAACTTGTTCGAACACCGAAAAAAAATCTAAATCATGCTATTTTCAGGGCTATAAAAATCGACTTTACCACGGCATCCACAACATGGACCACTTGCCCCGCGTGAACGTCGTCATGGAAAAAGGCGATACCGTTTTCTTCCATCCGTTATTACTTCATGGCTCCGGTCCAAATCGCACCAAGGTATACTATTATTTAGGCAAGCGGATTTTAGCTTCAGTGGCGTAACAAAAATCTTATTTTTAAAACTTTGCTTTCTACATTCTTTTCAATCTTTCAACCCAAAGATACCAAATATCCTACCTACTAATCTATTTCATCAAGTTTTGGAAAAATTATGTTTTTTCTTTTAAATTTTTTTAGAATACTTTATTGTTAGCTTTGCATAGTACAGCGAGTTTCACATTCATGGTCCATTAGAAGTTTCTGGGGAACGGAAAAATATATCGATTTGAAATTTTAAAAGCGTTTAAATATTTAAGTCTATTTTACTAAAATATTTGACATGTGACATTAACGTTTATTTCAAATATTCATATATTTTTAAATGTTTAAATTCTACAAAAAAAAACTATATGTACAAGGTGTCCCTAAACTTAGTGGCATAAATTTAGGAGCAGATTAAGCAAGTCAAAATAAGACAAAAATCTAAATAAATATTTTTCCTAATTCGGTATGTTTAAAAGATACAGAGTGATAAAGTTTACCTATCATATCAGTTTTTTGAATATAACTTCTACTATGGTAGACTTAAAAAGGTGATATTTTGCGAGCAGTCACTTACTACCAAAACACATATTCAAACATAATTACAATTGTTTGTAGAAACAGGGTTTGTTTAAGCTTATTGTACCATATTACCTTTGAGGTTAGGTTTTTATACCATTTGATGCAATTTTTCGATTACTCAGTTCGGCTACTATTAAAAAGGTATACCTCATAAACTTCGATAAAATAAACCGTTTCCGAGATATTCGAGATTACAATAATTGTTATTTACCATTTACATTAAGGCATTTCTTAATTCTTACTTCTACATTAGACTTGCTCTTCTTGACTAATATTAGAAATTGTTAAATATTTCTGAAATTATTAAATGGGAATAGTTACATTAATCGAAATGTTTTTTAGTTTTCTTTTTCATTATCTAAAAACATACAGGGTGTACAAGTTATAAATTTTTCAAGTTAGCCTAATTTGCCATGGTTTTTCTTAAGTAATTTGTTAAGATATATCTTAACATCTTAACATATATGTTAAAGAATTGACATGAAATCTTTTAAACAATGATTTAACATTCCAAAAATTCCACCCTCATATGCGCAAACAAAATAACAACAAAGTTGTAGGCTATTTTTGATTGACGCGCATTTGTCAAATTTTAACTCGAAAACTATTCACTTTAGGTATAGGACATGGTTTAGTAAATTTACTCGAAATTTTATGTAGAATTTCAACAAAGTTGATGGTGAAACTGAATGTGGCATATTGTTCAAAATATTTTAGAAAAATATACTTAATTGTATTAATGTATATAATGTAGTTGCAAATCAATATCTTTTGCCTTTCCCCAGAAACTTTTAATGGACCACGAACGTGAAACACCCCTTTCATGAAAATTTACTTGTTTACAGTTAAAATAAATCTGCATCTGCATTATACAGGGTGTCCCGAAATTAAGGGGCCAATTTGCAATCTGCATAGGAAAAACTAATTTATTTTATAAACATGTATTAAAAAAATGCCTTCTGACGGAGCTGAGGTCCCCTGAAGAGAGTTCTAGGAGGTTGCTTTTTTTTCCTTGAACATAAAGACAGTTTTTTGGTACTTTGATTTTAATATGCTAGTCTAGACCTAAAATAAAAACGACAAAATTTAATCATGGGCGTCCCATTTGGGTTGTAGAGGTACAAAAACAGCCATAACTCTTTTTTGGGTTAATGTTTTAATTTTTGCTCACACTTGGCCAAAACGCGATCGTGTGACAATTTCGAAGAAGGGTTCGTCATTTTTAACCGCAATTCGAATTGCTTCCTTTCCTTCCTAAAATTGATAAGGGAAAAGATATTCGGCTCCAACAGCGATAAAACCATTTTAAAAAAGCACCAGTGGTTTTGGACGTTTTTTAATTTTAAATTAAAAATGTTAACAACACTCGTGACAAAATTTCCCTTGAAATTTGTTTGAACTTGTATTTACTTAAGTTCATGGCATTCATTTAAAATACGAAATTTACAAGTAAAAAAACATTTAAAAATTTTATTGGTAAAATTTTACTCTTTACTACTTCTATTTCACTTATTACTTTTTACACCAACTCCTTAAAATTAATCGTTTCAAGAAGAAACACAGTGAAAAGTAAAAATAATTAATTACACTGTAGGGAGGTGAAAATATCACAGCTAAACGCTCGGACACGTAAATTTAATTTTTTGGTCGTAGATTACAAATCCATGTTTGGTTTAGCTGTATCAGGTCAAAATTCAAAGATATTGAAAACACCCTGTATAAATTTAAACACCCTGTATAAATTTTAAAAAAATCAATTTGGTTGGACTCACACATCAGTTCCAAATTTAAAAAAAACAAATTCTTGAAAAATTTGAAGTAAATTGATCAAAAGAAACACGTGTCCCTGAGGGTTTTTTATAGATAATTTATAAATTATAAATAGGAGATTCAAAATGTTTTTTTGGTATTTTTTTTATTGAGTATAATTGAGGATATTATATTACCTAATTGAAATAAAAAGAATAAGAATGTTGGCACAAGAGGTGAAATATATTATTTAACAAATTATAATATACCAGTATACAGTGTGTCTCCGGATCGGATTTTTTTGGACCTGATACAACTAAACCGAGCACGGATTTGGAATCTACGACCAAAAATTATGTTTACGTGTCCGAGCGTTTAGCTGTAATATTTCAAAAGTTGAAAATTTACCTACAGTGTTATAACACTGTAATATATTACTATTAGAGTTATTTATATTTTTATTATAAACTTAACGGTTTTTTGTATTTCTAGTAGGTATTTTCATTCGTGAAATAGTCTCTCCAAATAGCGCTTGTACTCGTGGAATTATAACAACTGCGCTTTCATAAAAATTATCGGTAATTTTTAATCACTCCTGGTATTACCCCCGAAAAACCCGTTCGTTTTTCTATTAACTTTCACACCCTGTATTAGTGATGCAATGAAGTCTCATAGCAGAAGCAGGAGCAGAAACATATGTAAATAGTAAATTTTTATGGAAGCGGAACAGAAGCGGACGCGGAAGCGAAAGTAGATATAATTACCACACAAAATATTTTTTTTGTCAATTTTTATTTTTTAAATTAAATTAATATTTAAAATTTAGTCATAATTTTGGTGCAACCTTACCTAAACTTTCCATTAAAGAGATCTGACCCGAAACCTTTTTGATATGTCCAACTACAGTATTTAGTCGATCACATAGGATGTTAAAAAAAAACATTGTAAAATCCTTAAACAAAATCCATCGTTATCAGTATTACTTTAAAAGAAAATATAAAGTAGGTACCTATTACAATAACCTGTATAAATCCTAAACCCGATTTATATTATAGATAATAATAATAATTCATATTTAGGCCTTTTTAAATAGGTACCTATTACTACCCCTATTGCATATTTACCTAATCTTGTACAGCAATACTTAGGTACTGTTTAATAAATAAAATAGTTTTTATTCGTCCTTAAAATTATCTCCTTATGAATACGCTACTGATTTATTTTATGCATAACTTCGCTCAATTGCATTTTATTACATTTCAGGGCTTCAGAAAGGCCATTTCTTGCCATTACGCCGATAGCAACTGTTATTTTATCGATGTACATGGGACATCACAAGAAACTATAGCCCAAGAAGTAGAAAAAATGGCAGCCAAACGTGGAACGCCTCTAAATTTTGTGGTAAAGATAATACATTTATATTTTATTTTAAATTTTATAATGTTGGCAAACAATAAATTTGAAAATCTTATCTACGATGTGCACATTGCCCTGGGTCGATTTATGGCGTCCAGTACATAAGAGCATTAAATTAAAATATTGCTTAAATATCAAGTAACACTTTCTATAATTGTTTAAAAGGACCTATTTAAAATAATTCCCTCCCTTATATTTAGATAAGAATTATACAATTCATTGAATTCACTGAATTAATTGAATTAAGTAGTAAGCTTTGTTGATAGAGAAAATCCTTAAAAATGTTTTTAGTTTTACAACATTTTCCTAGTCATCAATTGTACAACTTTTCTAATACAAATTTGTTATATAGAATTTACAATCATTGAAAAACTATAATATATTACAATTCTTAAAGATAATATTTCCCTTTATTGTATACCGAGTATGTCAATAAAAACGGTTAATTTAATCAAGGAAATACTACTTAAAATAGTATAAAAATACAAAAAATAATTTTGACCGATTCTTTTCAAGTTGTAAGGTTTTACAATTTTTTTGCTTTTAATGTAGGTATAATAGTTATTTACGTTAGCGCGAGGGCTAGAAAAGCGTCGTAGGACCATAAAAACCAGTAATGCCAGCAATGCATACAAAACTTTATGCACGATTAATATATTATTATTTTTAATATATTATTGTTTTTAAAGACGTTTACGTCAAAGATATTTTGTTATAATTGTCATATTATAATGTCAACTGACATCAGTCAGTTTTAAAGTTTAAAGATGAATGAAATTGAGGAAGCAGCTGAAAAGGCGAAAAATTGCGGCCTGCTGCCGGAAAAATCAAAATCTTTATAATACGAAAAAAACTTACTTCGAATATATCAAATGGTGTAACATTTTTGTTTTTAATTTTTGACGTTTCATTATAGCCCGCTGGGTCAAAATAACGCCCGCGGGCTATAAAAAGACGTTTACGTCAAAGAATTTTTGTTATAATTGTCATATTATAATGTCATCGTGCATAAAGATTATTTATTTATGCATGGTAAAACTGTTTATAATACTAAAATTCTGAAGGATGCGTGAAGTTTTATTTTAATAATCAAAGTATCAGTTCATTAAATTAAATTAAAAAAATTAAGCCTTAACAGGATTTTAGTAAGACACGGCTCTTCCCAGTCAAACAATATACCCTTAATTTATATTGCTTTTCAATTTATGTGGATTTGACTTTCTGAAAACTTAAAATAACATTAATTTTACATGACATATACTAATACAGTTATTATTATTTCTGCCTATATCAAAGATTTGTGCCATTTTTTTAAAATATTGTAAGGGACGGTAATGAAAATTACTAGTGCTTTAATGACTTGTAACTTTAAAAAAATAAAATTAAATTAAAATTGTGCTTTGCCATTTAGCTTTTCATTCGAAGGCAAGGTCAAAAAATAATGTCAACAAGGAAAACTGACAAATTTTATATTCAAAAATTATAATTAATTAAATTAAAAATTAAAATTATGGGAGAATTACTCATATATTTATTAGATAAGGTTATTCCACGATAATCAGAAATTGTTATCCCTACCGTCACAATATAATTTCCGACCATAATAAATACTTTACTTATCCATTACATTAATTATATTATATTATCGTAAAATGTAATACAATAATAAATTTACAAGAAAAAATACAAAGCAATTTGTTGTAATAAAGACATGTATAAAAAATTTCAAAACTGGTTATTTATAATTGGAATCCATAATAATTAAATAAATAAAAAAATCCGTAAAAATATTTAAAATTTAAATTTATATTCACAAATAAGGTCAATTGATTTTTTTGGTAGATTGTCCTCTATAACAAAGGTTTTCTTTGCCATTATTAATTTCTTTTATTCGCAATTGCCCCAATTTCGACCTTATCAATTAAACTTTGGCAGTATTTTGTCGGTTCCTAAGTTAGGTGATGTAGCTATAAAATTAGGTACCTATAGGTACCTAATTTTATATATATATTTAAGGTTATTATTATTGGTTATTTTTAGTTAAATAATAAAAAAGTAAATACAAATTTAGGTCAAAGCTTATAAAATTAGGTTATTATTTTAGGTGCCTAAATTTTAGGTACTTAAATAAAAAAATAAAATTAGCTGATTTATTGAATTAAAGTTTTTTCATTATAATGTCGATATAGGTAGGTACTTAAATTAATAAATAAAATTAGCTGATTTATTGTATTAAATTTTTTTCATTATAAGTAATGTCGATATTGTTGTAAAACCATATGTAGTTTTAGTTACATTATATTCGCTCTGTAACGTCATTTTTAAAATATGGCGCTAACCAAAGAATAATAAAAGGTTCATGTAAGTTTATAAGTTTTATATATATATATATATATATATACATACATATATATATAGAAAACATTTGGCACTTCCCTAGTTCCATTTACTTGATACCGAAAATTGCCATTATGGGTCTTTTTTGGTAAAATATACAAAAATTAGCCATTGCAATTTGCAAGACCTTATTACGACCATTACATAATCAGTTTTATGTGTTTGCTGGATAATTTTTGGGTATAGGTTTTTTTATTAGTATTTTATTTTTTAAAAACTTTTTATTTATGTACAAAAGAGAAAGCAATAATAAGTGTAACTATTTTTTTTAATAAGGGTGTAATGATTTTATGTTTTAATTGTTTGACCCAAACTGTCAAAAATACATCTGACGACCGTATTCAAGCAGCTTCTTTATTTGAATATTAATTATTATTGTTGTTCATACACAGAGAGAACTGTTTTGGGAATGGCTACTAAAAAAATCCAGTAAATTGGGTAAAGCTTTGATATTTTAGAAGTGAGCGCTTTTGTGTTTAGTAATGATTCCTAAAATCACCTATTAAGCATACGCGTTTGGCAAGTTGCCAATGGCAACTATTCCTTGACTAGAAAGTAGTAATTACAAAACTAACTGAAGAAAATATAAACACGTAACGTGTTTATATTTTTTTCGTGTTACGGGTTACACGTTGTAAATGTGTCTTCTACGCATGTGGTGATTTCGGAGTACAAAGTAATAATTACTAAAAAAATACTAAAAAAATATGACAAAAAAACAACAAAAAGAAAGAGTGCTTTAACTCTTAAGAGTTAAAAAAAATATTTTTAATATAAGGTTTGTTGATATTCGGTTGGATTTATTGAAATGCTAAAGCACTGTTTTAAAGATTCCATGTAAATTATTGTAATATTTCTAAAAAGATACTTGCAAAAAAACAATGTGAATGTAGCTAACTTAAAACAGCAATAACTTTTTCATCTCAATGGAACGCCCCGTATATTTTTACATAATTAAATATGTAATTATAATACCTTTTCATTGATATAACTATTCCCTATACCTAAAGTTAATATTAAGAAAGATATTTTACAATTAACCTAATAATATGAAGAAGAACTAAAAAAATGTTGCTTATGTGTATTAATTTGGTATGAATTACAAAACTTTCCCGATATTTATTATTATTAAAATAAAGGAAAATAACTACTCAAAAGAAGTTGAAAATATTTATGCTTAATGGATAACCAAATTAAAGGTACAACATACAAAAAGTTTCTGCATTTTCTATCAATAAGTTTGTCATATTGTCAATGAAGAATAAACAAGTTCATAAAAACTTCATTTGAATAGTGATTTTCCTCCATTTTAACTATTTTATTAACAATTTTTGTTAATTTAAAACATTACTTTTATTTAATTAATGTATTCTAACCTTATTAGTAAATAATTATATATCTTTTAATGAAGGTTCTATATCTCAAAAACTGTTCTACTTTTTTAGCTTTTGGATTCAGGGGACAATTTTACATAATTATGTAAGAATTGACTGTTAAATTTTGGGATACCATGGTATACCATGGTTAACCATGGTACAAGTGAAAAAGCAGCCACTATTAAATTAGTCATTTTTGACTAATTTATTTTTAGAGAGTGTTTTTATTTACAAAGACCGAAAAAAATATTGTTCTTATTAATATTATTTTTGTCATATGATTTTTGAAACTCATTCGTAGATTCCACTTGTCTTGTTTATTAATTTAAAACTAATATTTAAAAATTTAAAATACATAATAAATAGTAGGAATTGTAAAATATCTTTGTTATTCTTAACTTTAGGTATAGGGAATAGTTATAACAATGAAAAGGTATTATAATTTCATATTTAATTATGTAAAAATATACAGGGCGTTCCATTGAAAATAAAAAAGTTATTGCTGTTTTAAGTTAGCTACATTCACATTGTTTTTTATCAAGTATCTTTTTAAAAATATTAAAATAAATTACATGGAATCTTTAAAAGAATTATTCAGGATTCCAATAAATCCAACCGAATATCAGCAAACCTAATAATAAAAAAGTTATAAGCTCTTTTTGTTGAGGGTGAAACTGACCGAATTTTACAAAAAAAATTAAGTTTAGGTATAGGACATGGTATAGCCATTTTACAAGGAATTTTGGTAGGAATTTAGAAATGTAAAAAAAATTGTGATGATCCATTTAAAATAACAAAGTTGATGTCGCTTCCGTTAAAACCGGAAGAGGTATTTTGTTCAAAATAATTTAGAAAAATAGTTTAAATGATATTATAATTGCTATAAAAATTTCAATTCGAAATCTTTTGCCGTTCTCCATAAACGTCTAACCTACCATCGACCGTGATACACCCTGTATACATAGAAGATGTAGGTATTTAACTAACGCATATCTTATAAAATGACAATAAGAAATCGATTAATTTTTATCGTATGCACGCACTTATACCTGTAAAAGTGCCATATAAATTTTTGTTAACATTCACACTACAGTTAAGGAATAATAAACGATAGTAACAGCCCATGTGATCTTAGCAACTTTATTAATTTTTAATCCAGACAGTCAATCTTTCTAAAACTTAAATGTCTTTTAAGTAGGCTTTACTACAATCTAGAATTTTTTCAACATTTTCTCATAGCGACTAATATCGTCCCCGACCCTGCTTAATAAATATTTTATAATTTTTTAGGATGTCTGGAAGTATAAAAGCAGACTAATAAAAGGATCCAATGGAAATTTTCAAATATTAACCAGCCATCTTTAAATATACATATATATGTTATATTTTGCTAATAAAAAATTATTTAAATTAAAAGAACATTTGTTTATTTTTAAACCTTCTATGCTAAATCTAAATTACATATGTAAATAAATTCACAAAACGTTTAATAATAAAAGGTGTACAATCTCTCATATCTATTATTCTTAATACACAATTACATTATGTTGTGTTTACTTTGCCAACCTTGGTTTGAATATAAGACAAAAGTTGTCTCTTTACAAGAAGGCGACACTGCACATGATTACAAAATTTACCCACCTGTTCGCAAGTCAACAAATTTTCGCGTTCGTTTACTCGTTTCTATAAAAACGCTTGGTGCAGTTTGTTAGTCACTGCCAAGATGTTAGTTTTCTTGCTTTCACTCACTTTACTAGCTTTCGTTTCTTCTGCTAAACTACGTAAGTACAAACTTTTACTAAAATATTACTTTTTGTAAGGTTTACAATTTAGTTTTAATAATGATAATTCAATTTGTTCATGCAATATTTAGAATTTCAATCAGAGACAGTAATAAAAGTTTTTTTTAATTATATATTTTACTAACTGATTTGAATATATTTTTTTTGTTCTTGGTATAAATTTACATATTTATTAAATATCTATATTTATTTTAGCACCTAACGTAAAATTATGTTCGAAAAAAGATCAAAATTTTTTAAGATGTGTGGAAAAAAATATGATGTTAGCCATAAAGGAATTTGGACCAGGTGTGTAATACCTATTTTATTTAAATATTTCTTTGTTTACTTACTTACTTTTATATTTTTTTCTCTGTGGTCAAGTAATGATTTATATTTGCAATTAAAAGTGTTTACATTCAGGTTAATTTATTTAGTTTATTCTATTTGTATTTTTTAAAATTTATTTTAAAATAAACCTTTTTAAATACAAGCCTTGTCCCATATTAGTTGGCCCAGCCACAAAAAATATTGTAAATCCATTGTTTACTTGAAACTCAATCTACAATACAAAATCTAAATATAATTATATGTTATATATAATTAAATGTTAACATTGTTTATTACTTACAAACTGACCCTTCGCAATTTGCGTCTAACAAATTACTTTTGTTGTTTCTGGCAAAAACTAAAATACCGTGAATTATATGAACTTATAGGTGTACTATACAAAACGGATGTGTGAATATAACTTATAAAGAGTCCAGACATTTAGGTACCATATTAACAAATGAACTTAACAGTTAAATCTAAAATTTTTAATTTTAAATCTATCACGTTTAAATTTTTTTTACTATTATTAATGTTAAAAGTAAAAATGTTAAAAATACCATTAAAAATACCTTAAGTTTAAACAAATCAACTAACTTCGTCGCCCAAAAACGAAAAACTGGGACTTAACCTGGAATTACTGACACCATTGAAATCACTGGGACAACTATGGGCTCGAATGACATTAAATTAGTTTATCTTCAATCGGCCTAGGCACAAAAGAGATTTAGACCAATCGGGCTAGGTTATTTACTAGTTATTATTTACTACTTTTAACCAATTAAAAAATTCGACTTCTGTCAGATCTATCCAACCTTACTATATTCTTTTAATAATTTTAATAAATATAATTTTACGTGTTATGTATATACATATGTAAATGGTTTAACAAACAAAATTGTGCCTTAAATAATAAAATGTTGTACATGAAGTGTCTTTTTGTGCTTCGCTCAATTGTCAAACTTTAACCTCATCACAAAAAGACTCACTTCCTGGCTTGATGACATAAAAATTATGTAATCCTAGCCTATAAAATCCCTTATTTGAAGAAACAAAAATACTTTTTATTAAAAAAGTACAAGAAAAAATAATTAGGTACTCAACTTGCATTTACTTTCATAATGCATCATAATTTCAGTAGAAACCCCAAATGTATTATGTATGACCATAGTGACAGATATAAAATATTATTTTGAAAAAAAAATAATGAAATATTGATTTAATACATAGACACAGAGACCCCTAAAATTTAAAGTAATACATGTAAAAAAATAATTCCATCAAGCAAGGTTTAATTTTTTACAAACCTAAATTAATTTACGTGAATTTTTCATATATTTTTTTAAATTTTGTATTATTTCTAAGACAAATTTTGTATAGATAGATCATAATCTAATTTTTTTTTTAATCTGCCACTACCACTTTGTTTTAATCTACCACTGGTAGACTACCAAAGCTGCAGCTTTTACCAGTTTTTATTATTAAAATATATAGGTATTTATTTAAAAGTTTCAAATTAAAACAATTTCCTTTAATTTTAATGCATCGGTAAAATTATGAAAATAGCAGTAAAATTGCTGTTTTTAATGAAACCCCAATTTGAAAAAGCTACTGTGTTATTCGCTATAGCGAGTTAAACTAATTATCTTTAAGACGTGAAACATAAAAAACAGTTTTTGTTTTTATACATTTATACATTAGTCTCATGGAATTTCATTGAGTAAAGGTCGAAACGTTAAAAAAAATTGAATTTTATTTGTCCAAAGAATGGTGGAACGATAGAATGGTTGATTAAATAGTCGGCCATTTTATTTTAAAAAATTACATCGAATTTTAATTCCTTGAACTCGAAAACTATTTAATACTAATTTTTGCGACAATATGCCGAATTGTGCTTAAGCTACTTATAAAACCTTATTTTTAAATTTTATTTAATTAAAATTCCCATTTTCATTCTGTGGTAGCGATACCCGGAGCCTTTTTTTTTAATTTTTTTTACTAATTTACATTTTTCAGCTTGCGATTTAGTAGACTCTTCCAATAATTATTAGAAAAATTCGCTCACAATTTCATTTTTGGCCAGCTTTTATAGCGCTTCGGACCACCGTTTTAAGATGCCTTATACATATTTTGCATAGTAAGATTTAAATGCTTACTTAGAAATTTATATATCGTTAATAAGTAATTTTTGGGACACTTTGTATTTTATATTTTAAAATATAGGTATCTTAATAAAAAATGTATTAAAAAATGTATAAAAAAAATTGTGTTGCTTCCAAGAATTAATTTTTTGTAATGATTTATTTATAATAATTTTAAAGCCGGCTCCTACAACAAAAATTTAATTACTTTCGAATTTTTCCATTAATGACAAAACAAAAATAAATCGGTTTGAAAGTCCAATGCATTTAAATTATGAATCATAATTTGTTTATATATAGACAAAAACCAAATACGTCGAACCCTGATGCTAAATTACAATATTTTATTAAACAAAATAACCAGTTTATGAATATTTTAGGTTCACCTGATTTGGGTGTACCCAGACTTGAACCATTCTTCATTGAAAAGTTGGAAATTCATGGATCTCAAACTGGATCTGTCCGGTTGGATCAAAATTACCACAATGTTAGTATTTATGGTTTTTCAATATCTACTATTTCAAACCTAAGGTAAGTATACAAATAAACATTTATTGTTCTTAATCTTTTGTTGTGAATGGCCTTAGTTAGTAATTTTTCACACGTATTTTACTTGATTGAATATGGATAACGTTGAAACAATTGTTGTTATTAATTTTATTTTTTATAACAAATGTTTAATTAATTACGGTTAGCGCTTGTTGTTTATTTTATTAATTTAGGATAAAATTAAAGGTTAATGCATGTTTGCATACAATTAAATGCAAATTTGCATAATTTGATTGCTACTTTTTTATTTTTAATTAACACATTTTTTTAAATTTTAGAATTGATCATGATAAATGTCGATGGGAATTTGACTCAGTGGCTCCAAACATACGTATGGAGTCTGATTATGCCCTTAATGGTCAACTTTTAGTTTTTCCCATCAATGGTCATGGAAAAAGTAATGTTACTATGGGTAAGTTACAAGAAAATAGATTAAGAAAATGTTTGTATAGAGGGCTTTCTGAATATGACGCACTATAGTCACCTTATGATAGGGAAATATAAAAAATAGTAGCGATTGGTAATAGGCCTTTAAGAAATTTTTTTTATTTAAACTTAATTTGTATTAAATGACACACTCATTAAAACATTTGATACAGATGAACCTACTTTGCTGCCAAAACAAAAAATGATTGCATAATGCTTTTTTTCTACTCCCACCTTTAAAACGCCCTTTATCGTTCATGTTTCTATGGCACTAAGTGAACTTTTAAATACACATTGACAAGTTGTGGCTTTACGGCGCTTTAGTCACGGGCTGAAGTTAGCAACAGATTTTTAGTCACGGGCTGAAGTTAGTTTTAAGTTAGTTGACAGTTGTCAAATGTCATACAATCGTTAAAATAAAGTGCCTTTCTTGTAAAATAATACTAAATGTTAAAATTATTTTATTATCTCAATACAAAAATACAAAAATATTAAATAGTTTATCAACGCCAATATATGAACATTGTACTGACCTTTTAATTTCGCCGGCAATAAACTATAACTTAAATTCGGGCACGGACTCTACTGTAAACTCCTCATAAAACATTTCCTTTACATTCACTGTGAAAAACTGTCAATTTTCAATATACATTTCGATTTATAACCTTTATATTTGTTTATAAAATGTAAAAATGTGACATTTGACAGTTTCCCCTGTTGTTTCATAGATGGCGCTCTATACAAATTTTTTATTTAAATCATTTTAAGATAATAATAAGTATTTGTCGTAGAAAAAGTATAGTATGCACCTCGTTTATAAACTTTTCTATACACTCATTAACTTAAGCACTCGCTCGCTCGTGCCTAAATTAAATTCGTGTATAAAATGGTGTTTATAAAACTTGATACATAATATACTATTATACATCTTAAAACAATATTATAAAGATTTAAAATATTTGTTTATTCACTTTAGAGCCGGTCAAAAATTCGAAATTATTTTGGTACTAGCAAAAATATTTTTTAAGGTGAAAAAAAATTATGTGCAAACATTTTTTTTCAAGTGTATAGCAATTTTTATATTATAACAATCATAAGACTACATAGAAAGACTTAATATTTTTACTCAGTTAAAAAGTCAAATTATTATACACCGCCGTACAATAATAAAAATTAATTCAAATTACATAGTAAGTACAGATCTGTACTATTCGATTATTGGTTGAAAAAAAAGTATATTCAACACGGCGTAGAAAGCATATTAACTGCCTCGCTCAGATCTGCAGCCTCGGCTAAGCTTAGGCCTAGGCCTTGGCATCGAACACTTAAAATTGAAAGTAACATAATATTGCAGTTTCAGTGATAATTGCAATTTAATTTGAAACAAAAAATTATTATTGCACAACTCTAGTATCAGGGTATAACATTAACTTAAAAATGACTTAATAATCACTTGAACTTTCTGATTCTTGTTAAGATAACTAATTGGTTAATAAAATATAAACTATTACTTTTTCACATTTTCAATTTAAATTATAACATTTTTTATTACAAGCATTCTTGGGACTGTAGTTTTGTAATTATAAAGCATTTGAGTTTAGAAAAAAAACTTGGCACTGCTGTATTCGAATACAATAACGGTTACGATTCTACATTAAATAACCGTAGGATTATGATTACGATTAATAAACGAAAGGTCAATATATAGTGTGATTATAGTATCTTGCCAGTCTTGCATTTGACAGAACACTCATATTTTGAATGCTGAGTAGAAATTGTCCAAATGAGCCTACGATTTTTGATGCTTAAGGAAAATTAAGAAGTATTGGAAAATAATCTACTCATTAATATTAAGTCACGCTATGTATAATTTGCTTATTATATATTTTTGAAAAAAAAATAATTTGCTTATTATTATCGTGCGACCCGGGGAAAAAAATTATATATGATCTTATATAATTATATAGATATATGTAATTTCATTATATATGATCATGTATGAATTTTGCCCATGTATGACCATACATGAATATTGGTCCCCTAAAATAACTCTACTTTGCATGGAAGTTCTAAACTATCTAAGAATGTAGTTTTTATGATCCTATAGTGATCTCCAAATTTTCAATTTTTTTCTTCACTCCTTCAAAAGTTATAGCTCCGTCCCGGAACTTTTGGGAAGCCCTGTATAATAGGGGGCACCAGTCGGGATAAACTCGACAGGAAGTCAAAAATAGGAAGGAATTATTAACAAATTACAAATTACTATAGTAACACATATATACATCAAGAATGCTGCTTCAAATTTACGTCAAGTTCACTAAATACCAGTACAATTAAATAAAATAAAAACTTAATCGTGGCAATACTGCCAACCATGTTACGTGGCAATTGAACTTCTAACTTAACTCAACTAACAAAATCTTATTTTAATAATCAAACAGTGTCCACGCAGCATTAAAATAAACAGAAATACCTTAAAAAATCTTGAAAACTACATGTAAGCTGTCATCAGGTTGTGACCAGTATTCCAATACATGACATGAAAGACACAGGATATTTCCACTAGCAATAAAGGTTATTCTTCTTCGAAGGACCTATTGTAGATCAAGGGAGGATCGTAAGACAATCAGGTACTTCCATGGATTCCTTATGCTCAAGACATTTGTCAGTGACCACGGAGATTATTACAAGTGCATTACTGCAATACCACACTAACCATTCTCACCAAAGAAATAAGTATAAGTATTATTTTTATGATTCTCACACTCTTCAACGTGTTTTTGAGGTTAGGAATTTTAAATCTTAGGGAAAAGCCCAAAATCGTTGAGAAATGTTAAATTTTGTCAAGCGGAATCTAAATTGGTATTTACCTAGAATGTTATAAGCTCTTTTCCCTTTAAAACTACATGATGCCTTTAGCAATGACGGATTTAAGTGTGAAACAGAATGATTCGCAAATACGCGACCGCCATCTCGGAACCCCAAGGTCAAAAGAGACAAACACAGAACAAGACACACCTTTTTCTATGGTCTCTGCACAGAACAACAAAACTAAAGAAATTTAGAACAAAAATACCTACATTAAATCAAAATAAGATAATAAAAAAGTGTCTTTGTAAGGTCCCCACCAAATTATTAATCACTAAGAATACCTGAAAAAAATATTTATTAATAAATTATCAAGAATTATTATTTATAACCTAGAAGATAATAAAAAACCCAACATAAAATAAAATAATAATTTTGAAATTGGTCAGAATAAAGAACTTTGATCGTAAGTCAGGGAGGGCAATTGCACCCATTGCCCCCTGTATCCGCACCAGTGTTTAGCGCTGTGCGAGAGCACGGTGTTAAAAAGATTATTATATATTATATATTTTAGGTAATCCTGGAATACATTACGTTCTGGACTGCGTGCGTAACCAGAAAAAGGGAAAAACGCATCTTCAAGTGAGCAAGATGAAATTGGCAATGAAATCAGAAAGTATCCATTTCGATTTTGAAAACTTATTTCCTGGCAACGAGCAAGTCAGCAATGAGATTTTAAAGACCATCAACGAAAATGGCTTGGATATTTTCAAAGATGTTAAGTCAGCGTTCGAACAGGCTTTTGAGCAAATTTTCACCTTTGCTTGTAATAAGGTGTTTAACAAATTATCAGAGGATGAAATATTTTTAGAATAAGCTGTATTAACATAAATGTATTTGAAAGCAATAAAATCAAAAATTTAAGGTACCTACATTTGACTTCTTCTTTATTTAACATGGAATAGTAAAATACTATAATAATAAAAATAACCTTGTTTTAAAATTAAAATAAAAAAAAGAAAAAATCCTATTTAAGAAAATATGTACAATATTTTTTCATGGTAAAACATGTTGAGATAGTATTTGAAATATACTATAGACTATAGTATCCATCAGGCTCCGGATCTACCATTTTTTCAGTGTTTGAGATTAATGGTTAAAAAAACTCACAAAACAAATGTACTGGGTGGATTTTTTTGTAACCGGAAGAATAGAATTAAATAAATTACTGTTAAAAAATACACTTAGGATTCGATACAAATCAAACACATGAATTAGGCAACCCATAGATCCGGGTCTAGTATAGTACGAGTATATTATTTTTTAACTTAAAATAATCTTTTAAGTTTAAGTATTACGTAACGCAATTTTTGTAGATTTTTGAAAATGAACTAACAACCGTTTAAATGATGATATAGCAGCAGTTTTTCACAGTGAAAGTGAAGAGAATGTTTTATGGGCACTTCATGGTGGAGTATCCACCAGAAATTTTTAATGCTTTTAGTTAAATCTAGTTTACTGCCGGCAAAATCAACAGGTCAGTACAACTTGTATATAAACTTTTCAAATAGGTATTGGCGTTGAGAAACTTTTGTATTAAGATAATAAAATATTTTCCACATTATTATTTTACAAGAAAGGCAATATATTTTAACGATTGTATAACATTTGAAAACTGCTAACTTAAAACTAACTTCAGCCCGTGACTAAAACGCTATAAAGCCACAACTTGTCAATGTGTATTTAAAGATCACTTAGTGTCATGGAAACATGTACGATAATGGGCGTTTTAAAGGTGGGAGTAGAAAAACTAAATTATGTCCTGGCAGGGAAAATTTCATTCGTCCATGGTATACCAGGTATATATATATATATAAATAAATATTAATATTATTGGTTTGTACCACAGACCACCAAAACAAATGGACGGATTTATTTACGTTTAAAAAGCGAGTAAAGCATAGTTTCACATTCTAAACACCGTCGAAAGAAACACGGCTTCCAACGTTGTCAGAAGGATTTCTTCATCATTTTCTTTAGATATTTTTCTCTATTTAAAGAAAGTAAATCATTTAATAATAATTAAATATTATAGTCTAAGATCCCAAGTAAGGTCGACCTTCACCCATCTGCTTACCAGATGAAAATTATATTTTATCAAATAAAATATGTTTCTGA